TTGTTACTAGTAGCTTCTTGTTTGCTCCTAGTAGCTTCTTGTTCCCAGTAGTAAGGCCAGGAGCCCCGTTCGTAGCGTCCGATCGCTCCGTTCGTAGCGATGCCAGGAGCCCCGTTCGTAGCTTCTTGTTCAATTGTTCTTCAAGTGTCATATTCCCCCCGCCCGCTACTCTCCACAGACATGACTAGCCTAGGAGACTAGGATTCTTGCGCTGGCCTCACCAGGCGCGCTCCCTTGCGGTCTATTGGCCCCTGCCGCCAGTGTGGGAAAGCCTAGCAAACGCGGAACAGAAGAGAATCCCCAGCTGACCGATCATTGATGTTGACAAAACGTCACCATTGTGCGGTTGGTATTCATACTGAAGAGCAGTTCAGAACTGTTGTGCCGAGGCAGACGCATCTCTTTGCCAAGCCCGAACTTTACATTGCACACATGCTTGGCCTTAGCCCCGGGTAGCATTGACTCTTCCAACAACGTGATGGTCCAGAAGTGGGTGCTTCTCAGGACATGAAGGTCAGGGCTCCTTGCATGTGAGCTCCTCAGTGGGAGCCGAGTTGTCGTTGGAGTGTCTCAAAGTGCTGAGGATGTCTTAAATCAGCCTGAGCCTCACTGGGCGTGCTTGATGGTTGGTGGCGAGAGGCTTTCAGCCACTGCCACTGAATGCCAAGGTTTGGCTGGGTTGACCAACTATCTGCTGGAGCTTTGGCTGAAGTCTCTGTTCCAAAAGCGTAGTGAAGCCATGAAGGCTGGAGGTCCATGGTCAGAGACACGACGCAAATGCTGCAGGCTTGCGGGATGCAGGGAGGACCACTGTACCACTGTAGCTGCCAATGTCGCACCACTTTGCAGCTACAGGACGGGAGGCCAGTACACAAAGGAAGTCACAGGCCAACCAAGGTCCAACAACACTTCGGAGTGGGATAAGATGTTAGACAGCACTTGTGGCTTTTCGACTCATCGGCTCAAATGTTTTTGTGCAACAAACACAGACACCTTGGCACACTGAAAGCGCCTCCTGATTTCATAATGCTTCCGGTTGCACGGGATTGGGGTCAGCAGCGGTCAGCACATGCGATCCGCTCAGCACATTTTAGGCCTGATCTTGATAGTCCTGCAGTAATGTTTGCGATATGAAGACCGGCAACCAAGGAGGCTACCCAGTTCCATCACCTTCCTGTGAGGACTCAATCCCAAGTTTGTTTGGCGTGCCTGTGTTTTTGACGACTTCTGGAAATTGGAATTAGGTGTGCTTGCGCCGCATATATAAATGAATTGTACTTGCGTCAAAGATGAATCAACTTGAGCGGCCTTGAACGACAACCGGACAACCGGCCACTAAGCACCGCACCAGAAATTGCCCGGTTGAGTATACTTTTCAGGGCCCTAGCCGGGTTGTTTTAGACTTGCCAAAGCTAAATTTGTGCGGAGTAGGTTGAAGTAAACGAGCACAATTTCACCACTTTAATCTAGAAACTATGTGGAGGTCTTCGATTTAATGGCCATGAGTTCTGAAGGCACTTGGTAACGGCTAAGGAACTGCTCATTCTTTCACAGATGCTGGAGCCACAGAGAATCTGAACAGGTTGATCAGACACGGCTTGAATCAGCTTGGAGGATTTCTACTTGGATTAGATGATCAGACCTGCAGAAAACACCATGTCTCGAAGAAAGCACCCATCACCCATCCTTTCAATTCTTTAAGGAGCAGCTGTTTGCCGTAAACATTACTCTCACGCCCGGAACCCAACATGAGCCTGAGGGGAGTGTTGGCAGCATGAGAGGAGCATTGGCAATTGGGAGGCCCGAAGGTGATTGCCACAGAGAAGAGATTCTGGCACTCCTTTTCGAATACGCTTGTACCTCATGACCTGGGCTGCTTTGCCAAAGTCTCGACCGTTCTTGATTTTCATGACGGCTTGAATAAAGCCTGAAGCAATTCCAGCAAGGTTGAGAAAGTGCGTGCAGCTGGCCCACAAGAAGAGATTTTTAAGGCTTGTGTTCATGATAGCATAGCCCGCATGGCACTTCAGTGCCTGACTGGAGCCGTGCATGAGGAGCTTTCTTCACTGCAGCAGATCAGCCGGGCACCCCTGTTACAACGGTGAATGTGGTAGGTTCTTAAAAAAATACTGATGACTTGCCTGGATTAGAGAACTGATGCTGCTCATGCCATTTTCGCATGACCTTGCAATAACCCCCAGCCTTTTGTGCACTGGTGTGAAGTGTGAAGCATTAAAAACGGGTCACCTTCGTCTCCGTCGACTTTAGGCTTTGCGCATAAGGAAGACTCACCATTGCCAGATGACTTTGCTGCTTCTGCAGCGATGGCCGCTCGGATCGAGAGATGGGCGGGTTAGAGACCCGTCAGAAGGCATGACTCGTGTCGTAAGAAGGCCATCTATGGCCCTTCGTGGCTGTAAGAAGGCACGCAGTAAGGCACGAAGTAAGTAGCTGTTTCCTCAAGGGCCTCAAGGGGGTATATTCGATTCAACCCCGTGAGATCGTTGTGCACTGTGAACCCTTTGGACTTGTTCGAGCATGACCGTGGCAAGGCATTGCATAGATATCCTGCAAAGGAGGCACGGAATTACTTGCTGGATGTAGCACTAAATTCCTACTAACCAACAGCAGATGATCAATGCCTGAGGTTTTGCGAGGGCCTTTTGCTCTCGATGAATGGCGCCCTGACGTTGTGGCTGAGTGCCCCTACCGTCTTCGCAGCGGTCCAAACGGCGAGACGACCGTCTTCTCAGCAGGAGATGGTGTGAACTTTTTGACTTGACTGAATTCAATTGATTCTTTTTTGCGATGGCTGTGAACACTCACCAACTCTCTCCATCGAACTTCTCTGTCCGAACTTGTAGCTGCACAGCGCAGACGTTTGAGAGGTACTTGTCGAAGCTCACACCAGAGAACTGCCTGGTTTTTGAGACGAGTGATGGCTACAAAGACGAGAGCTCCGCTAGCCGCTGTCCCAAGAGGAGCTACAGGTTTGTTACAACACCGAGAAGAGATGAAAGATCACCCTTACGCCCCATTACCACCTTCAAATTTTGCGGATATCATGAGGTAAAGTATGGTAAAGTGGTCTCACAGAAGGGGAGGACATGGTGACGGTTGCCTTGGTACCCCTAGGTGATGCGGAAGAGAAGGGGTGGAAAACTGAGCGCTGGTACAAGGCAGGGCTGCGGGGCCGGATTCGGTGTGCTCCATCGCATGATTTGGGCCATGTGGGATCTTGTGTGTGTGGGATTTGGGCCATGTTGGAGAGCGTTTTGTTAGACAGACATGCTATTCCTCAGCTGCTGGCTCGAGTGATAAACTTGAAGGCGGGGGACAGCTATGGTCACTGAGCCTTTACTGAGCGAAAGAAAGGCAAGTATTTTTGGCGGTTTTAGCTTAGTCGTTTTGGTTGCAGCAGGCCTCCTTTGCTTGCTGGTCTGGGAGGAGACCAGGGGGCCATGCCCAAGCAACCGCGACCTGGCAGCGGTCCAGAAGATGTACACCTTCTTTGTAGAGGGAAAACTGCAGGGGAGTTCCTGCATCAGCGCAGCCCAGCAAATTGCCCATGAGGATGTCGTGTATGATGCTTCCTCCGATGCAATGCCCCATGTGGCAGGCGCCAAGGTGTATCATGGGCTGCAAGGTGTTTGTGACTGGGGACGTTTCTTGCAAACCTTCCGACAGCCAGACTATACCTTGTTGGAGACCCTGCACAGTGGCGCAGGCACAGTGATAGTCAAAGAGGCTTTGACACCATCAGTGATTGCAACAAACAAGACCGCGCCCTATGCTTTGCAAAACATGGTGGAGTACAAGGTCAAAGAGGATAAGCTTGCATCTATGAAGGTATTTTGGGGAGAGCCTCATTTATTTGACAGTTTATTTGTTGAGTGAAGCAGAGGAGAGCCACAACCATGAAGGATGCACAGCACAGCACTTCCTGCAAAGCTGGCTGCTTGCAAGGGATGCAGGCCAACACCGACACTCAAACTCTCGGTTGGAAAAGCTCTGTCCTCCAAAGCAATCCCCATTGTGTCACAATATGTGTATAGACCCTCACAAGCAGGGTGACTTTGCCAACGAGTGCTTGATAAAAGGGAGCTTTTTGGCCACCAGCTGGACCTGGGAATGCATCTTCCCCATGCTTGTGCTAGCCGGGGCTGCAGGCAGCCTTCAAGGAGGAGCCCCTAGATGAAAAGCATTTATCGGAGTGGAAGGCAGGGATTCGACTTGTCCAGCCATTGGGGTTTCCCCAGTGGCAAGCCTTCGTCCATGTGAGACAAGGGACGCAAGCTGTGAGTCGAAGCCTCGACATGTCCGAAGGCTCGACTTGAAGAATTGCTCCAAGGGGAGGAGTCAGATGCTAAAGCAATGCGTTTCGTGGATAGGTGAGCAAGTCCCTCATTTCAACTGACATTCTGGGAAAAACCATCCATAAGCCATAAGCCATCCATAAGCCATCCATAAGCGATCCATAAGCCATCCTGCAATGCTGGAGAAACCGAGAGTGATGATTCTTCACTGGATTCCATTCTGAGACGGCTCAGGTCGGGCCTACAGTTGCCCCAGCCAAATCGCTTCATCCCAGAGGTTAGTGACTGTTAGTGGTGCCATTCCATGACAAGCGCTGTCTTTGCAACTGCAGATGGAGTGACCATGGAACCACATGGAATGCAGGAATGGTTTCCTGTATTTCCGCAGGATTTTTCACTGCGAGGTGAAGGGACAGGTGCCGGACAGCTGGTGCAGAAGGCCGTTTTCAGTTTCTTTGGGCAGCGGCTGCTTTGCAGGTTTGGACGCCAGCAAATTGCCCATGGAGGCTGGATGTGAGTCGTGCTCGCCCATCCAGGGATGGGTGTGCTCGCCGAGGTCGTGCCACCCGCGCCATTAGCAAGTGATCCGATGTGCCGACCCCATTGGTGTTTCGTCTCGAACGGACTGAGCCCCGCCATCGCCACAAGAGTCACAAGAGGTTGCGCTTGTGGCACAAGATGGACAAAGCCTTCAAAACTCCACGAGAGTACGTGCCCCCGCTATTTTTCGGGCGTTTTTGGAGTTCGAGCTCTCGCATTCCCGCAACTCAATAACATGGATGTGTTGCCATGCGTCACCAACATTACATAACCTTGAGTCGTGTGCCCAGAACTGTTGTTTCAGCTTTGCCATGCGCCAAGTGCTCCGAGCCGTTCTAGAGAGCAGTAACTTGGTCTCGCAACACCTGCTCGGCAACTCAGCTGAGAGATCGGGAAAGCAGCCGCAGGGCTCGAGGGATTTCTGAATCATTGAATCGTTGCGAAGTCAACTCGCTGTTTGCAGGCTCACTTACTTGGTGTAAAAGGGTGGAATGTTTGCAACTATATATATAGTGGTAGAAGATATGAAGGTACCAGGAATGATACTTTGTGCATTTATATACCGATTTGTCAGGTACTGACTCACATGCACACTGGGGCCTACTCCGCAGGTCATCAATGACAGTGCACAATGAGCAGTTTAGTACTGCTTGGCGTCACCCCAAAGCAGGCCCTGAGGCTGTTGCAATGATGCGGCTTTTTTGCGGGGTGGGGCCCTTCAGTGCTTGCCCGTTTTGAACGAAGCCTTGTCAGCGATTTGAGGAGGCTTTATGCGCTGTTCAGACAGTCTAGAGCGACCATTCCCAGTGTTATGCAACCCCATCACTTCTGTTTTGATCGAGAAGCCTGGCCTCCTTCGGTGGGAAGGTCTAAGAGCACTGGATGGGCCACTTCAGGTGGTCAGCGATGACCTCAACACCTTTGCCTACGATGCAACGGTCGCAGGGCAAGCTCCCAAAGCACAGCAACGGATGGTAGTGTAGTGCCTCAGAGCCTTTGAGATGCAATCTTGGGCTTTAGCCACCCAGGTTGGGGTACAACTTGGAGTTTGCCGACAACCTCACCATGACTGTGGGCGGTTTTAATGACAAGCTTCCGGAGCTCATGAAGGATCGAAGAACAGCAGACGTGCAATGGAAACCTCTTGCCGACAAAATATAGTGGCGAAAGCTGAAACATGAGGTTGCATAGTTTCATAGCAACCTGCTGAATGCAGATGTGGGATGAACCGCGCAGGTGGTAGTGGAGCACATTGCAAATGTCCTGGAAGAGTTTGAAGCAGCCGGTGAGCGCATGAAGGACAGAAGGGCATTTTGGACTGGACTCCCCCAAGGCACTTCACTACAGGAAAGAATTCTTTTGCAATGTGTTTCAGGAGTGTGCTGATGAAGCAGAAGTGATGGAAGCGTTGGGTGAGCGTGGCCAGGAGAGCCAGTAGGGCTGCTGCTTGGCCTATCCTGAATCACAATATTGATTCCAACTGGTGCTTTTTTGACTTCAACCCTTTGCCCCAGCAAGTCCCTTGGAAGTTGGTGCCAACGAGAGGAACTCTTGGAGAAGCTCGAGGTCCAGCGACAAATTCTGCTGCAGGAGACTCTTGGGGACGCCCCGATGCGCCGGGCCGCACTGATAAAAAGATCTGAGCATGCAAATGCCGTAGTTTGGTTGATTGAAGACGTCAGGACTACAAAAACTTCACCCGTCCTGGGGCCTAGAATGGGAGAGGAATTCGGGATGATTTTGGTCCTTGTTTTGGAAAGGCTTCAGAGCCGCTTGCCCAGTGCAGTTGCCCGTTTGTGAGGTGAAGAGCCATGGTCAGCCAGGGTACCAAGGGGAAGCCTTCGCTTGAGGGGAAGCGCTTGGCACTGTCGATGATGTGACATTTCCTCCAGGTTGGCCAGTACTACTTGAGCCAGCTTATGCTCCGAAAAAGTTGGCATTTGTCTGAATACATCAAGGCAAGCCCACCACATCCACATACATCAGCGTCGTTGTTTAGGCCAACATATATACAGCTCCATACGTGTGGCGTCTTAGTGTCATACTTGTAGCCACCTCACGAGTTCCGTTTCTTTCTAAATGCTGCCGCGTTGTGAGTGTAAGGATATGTAAGGATTCAGCACATGCCGCAAAGGCATTTGTGCGGTGACTGGCAGGTCTTGGAAAACATGCCGGACATTTTGGCAATGTCGAAAGCAGTGCGCAAGGCAAAATCTCACCGACTAGCAGCAAGCTGGATCTGAGTGAGTTTGCTATAGTCTGAAGTAGGGAAGTGGTGCAATGAGCGGCTCACTCCAGCCATCTCTCAGGCGCTCTCGCACGTGCAAGTCGATATGCTGGTGTCAGGGCCTCAGGAATGGGCTGAAGTTCCTCTCCCAAACAGAAGGCATGGGAAGCATCTTTTGCCAGCTAAGGCATGGCAATGCCACAGAAGATGGCGCACGGGAGTTGGCCGAGATCTTTTGTACCCTGGTCTTCACTTCAGTCACGTGTTTGTGCCCCACAATGAGTGGCTCCGCCAACCGTTGGTGGACTGGACTCCTGCGATCGGCGACATTTGGCCCAGTCTTATTTGAGACACAATGTCACTACCCCAAAATCAAATGTAACATAATGTAACTTGAGGACGCCCCCAGTACCTACGAAGTACTTACTGTATTTTTTTGGGGAGGGGGGCTCAACAAATGTAACATCAGACCTCCCACGTTGGAAGTTGATAACATACTTTTTTTCTTGGGGGATGAGTGATAAGTTATTTATTGTAACTTCATGATCTTGACACTAGAGATGAGTATGCGATGTGCATTGTTTTGTCACATTTTGTAGCTGCCAAAAGCCATCGGCTCTATGTAAGCTGCAATTTCGGAGGTCTCCAAAACTGTGGTACGCATCTAGAAATCCCAAGAATATGGAAACTAGATAGCTTAAGATGATATATATATATATAACTTAACATGTATACTGGAAATGCAGTCAACAAAGCGTCCTTGCATGACCCGTACGTTCAACTGGTAACTAGGAAGAAAGAAAGGAATAAAGAACAGATAAAGAAGAAAGAGAAGAAAAGGAAGAAAGGCCTAAAGGAAAAAGGAAGACACCTCAAAAAAATAGAGGCTAGACTAGCGGAGGCCTCCAAAAGAGCGGTATGTACCTAGACCAAGGACCTAACAGGGAAACATATGGAAACTAGATACCTAAAAGGACCTAACAGGGAAACATATGGAAACTAGATACCTAAGAGAAAGACACTTTGCAGTCACACGGTTTGCAATCATTTGCAGACCTTTACGTTAATAGGTTGCATCTTCCAGTGTTGGACAATGTTAGGTTACAGGCTTTAGAGGTCCGGGAGGCTTTAGAGTGAAATTGCAGGGGTACCCGCAAAACGTAACATTACAATGGTTGTATTGGAAAACGCACATGTATATAAAACATTTTGCAAGTATATATATATAAAGTATATGACATTACATTTTAAGATTCCAATGGAAGATGCAAGTTATATATATATATACATTTTGTGGTGCCCACCCGGGGATGACACAGTGTCTTTCGGCCTTCCATTCATTGCAGTTCCTTGGTACATTGCAGTGAGGTGGCTTTCGACACTGCTCAACATCACAATTTGATTTCACTTCAAACTAACCGACGTTGCTGTGCTGTGCCTTCTTCCGGTTCATGACGCGTTGCTCGGATGGTTCGTACGGGCACCATCTAGTAGAGCAGTGAGGCACCCATGCATTTCATGCTGTGCAACGCGTTTTTGCGGTAAAGAGCATTTGCCTAGGTGCCAACTTGAAGCGCTTGGGCACCACTCCTCTCCAAGAGCTCCGAAAGAAAGAGGCCACGATGTGATCCGTTGAGAAAGCACAACTTGGACACGAGAAAGCTGAGAATCATCTCAGAGTACTTCAGCTTTCCCGGAACATCAAGGGCATGAGTCTTTGAGTCTATTTATTTGTGTCTAATTATTCAGCGTGCACCACCACAGCGGGTTTTGGTGCTGCGGATCACCAAGGATGTGGACCTTTTTGACTTTTTGATGTCAATTGACCATGGACATTATGGCAAATAGTGAAGAGGTTAGGACATACCCGTAGTCACGAGAATATGAGGAACATAACTGTAAAGAAGTCATCTATGAGCATTGCTCATGATATCTTTTCACCCAACTCGTTGTTCTTTCGACAAGGCTCATGTTTTCTTGAATCCCTTTTTTTCAGGTCACAAAACTGCCCAAGAGCACCACCGTCTTCGAGTTTGACTTGGCAGCATTGAATCCTGCACAGGACGGGGGTGATTCCGATCCCTCTTAGCAGCTTAGCACAAGTCAAGACTTCCCACTGGCAACGAGTTCCCTGTAGAGGTTTCGGGTTTAGGGTTTCAAGTGATTCAGGCTTGATTTAGGAGTGAAGGGCGATCAGTGACGGGTTCTTGCAAGGTGGATTTGCTACAGTGGTCCGGGGTCAGAGGAAGTGCTTTCAGGAGAACTCCTGCACACAGGTCGTGTACCAGGCGATGCGAAGGGATACCCCGGCGGTTGGCGGGGTTGGATGGGTCAAGGCCGGAGAGATTCCGGACATGTGCAGACCTGCCCAATCTGAGTTGACTCTGCCCCCCACTGAGTTGTGCTTAGCAATGTGGGTTGATGGTAACTGGTAACACGATGTGAGTCTGAGTCATTGTAGGGCTTGTTGGGGATTGAGAATGGGAAACTCATGGAAACTCGCCAAAGAACAATCTGGGCTTACCACGAAGCCGCTTGTTAGGAAGTGTTGGAGGATCTTATGACGAAGCCAGTGTTGGAAGCCTCTTTTGGGCTTGATGGGCACGTGATCGTCACTGCCCAGGTGGGAAAGACGCAGGAAGACTTTCGACGAGACGCTTGCTTGTCTCTATGCTGTGCCTGCCCCGGCCTGCATGCGAGATAGTGTGGTGCTTGACAACTCTTTCGCGAGGTCAAATAGGGCACGTCTCTGCATTCCAAAAGCTCCGCACTGAATTGCAGCGCACTCCTTAAGACTTGGGGGAGTGTCACTGGTGGGCTTTGAGGGTGTTCACTCACTTGGGCTTTGTTGTGCTAGGTTGGGCTACATTGTGCAAGCCTTCCCTGCTGTCACAGAGGATGTTTGTGGCTTCAGTGTGCTTGTGCAGGGGCCAAGGCAGCAATCCCGATGGGATCGCAGTCTTAACAGAGCCCTGTTAATGAATGACCTCTGATGAGTTTTCAAACGGTGGCCGGCCTTGAAACAAAGCTCTGAGCTTGTCAGGGAGCATCCAAAGGATGTCGATGGCCTTATCGAGGAATGGCTTGAAGCTTTTGAACAGGAGCACGTTTAACAGTCAGTCAGTGGGGTGGGCCAGCCTGGTCGGCCCCTGTTTGAGGAGTTGGAAGACATGAGCGAGGAGACTTTCCAAAAGAATGTGCAGGCCCTCGTGAACGAAAGGACTCAACGATATTCCGGTTGGGCTCAGAGACGGAGCACATTTACATTAGTACCTAGCAAGAAGGACACTGAGCAGAAGCACACACACGTTTTTGGACATGAACACTTATTGCCGACTCCTTGGATGGCGCTACCTTGTGACTGGCTTCGCCAAGGTCTTATTCAGGAGACCACACGACACTGGTCCGAGATTCTACCACGCAGGCAGTCTTTCTTTCTGAACATCGCTGATTGCCGAATCAACTATTGGCTAAAGCTCCCAATTCTTTCTCTCTCTCTCTCTCTCTGAGTGATCTGTGGTTTTGATCGGGTATTGCATCTGCACCAGCCTTTTCATGTTTAGGAGCCTGCACCGATTTGTGCAGGTACAAGTTCTCCCGAATCGTTGAATCCACCCGTGCGCTAGAGACTGTGGCGAAAGAAGATGTGTGCATCTCAGTTGGCCCATGGGACCCATGGCACATGCACCACATGCTTGAGCCTTAAGAAGCGAGCAATTGGGTCAATTTGCGTGTTCAGGTGGTAGCTTTCTTCAAAAAGTATTTGGCCAAAGGAGCTCCAGACCGAAGGACCTCTGAACCGCAGCTTTGGTCAAGGTGTATAAAGACATCAAAGTGGCGCATGCAAACTATCATGTAGTTAGATGGATCTTTTGTACGAAGCAATTGACTTTGTAACGTGACTCTTCGTCGACGTGGTGCAGGAAACTGAGCATTCGAGTCCTTGGTACTTCTGCAGGTGATGTGAAGAGCCAAGTCGAAAAGACCCTCGGCGCACGAAGATTACGGGCTTACCTCATGGTAATTGCTTGGCCGTTGTGCCAATAGAATGCAGCTTTGTCAGCTATGTACCCAAAGTCTAAGACTGCCCGAGACCTTAGAGGACTCCGCTTCAAAAAAAACTGCCCCACTCCTCACAAGTCCGACGACTTGTGTTAGTACTCGTATTAGTCAGTGCACACCCTTCGACTCAGGCCCGATGCGTTGCTGACCTCTGTGGAGGCGGATCCCGTCACTCTCGGACGGAGCACCTTCAGTCTCCGACGGCGCCCCTTCAGGACTTGCGTGAGTTCCATACGGAGACGGAGTGGGAGCGCTTGGCGTCGACGCGCGGTGTCCGCGGTGTCCAATGGTCTAAGGCGAAAGCGTGAGTTCCACATGGTGTGTGAAAGAAGGGCCCGCCCAACGAGAACGGGAGAGTGGGCTGAGGTCTTTCCCTTCGGCGGTCTACGCTGAAATGCCGTCTCCCTGAGCAGAGGCACAGCAAGGAGGCAGGAGCTTAGGAGCTTCCCGCAAACCAGGTTTTGTTGCCGGTTTTTCATGCTAGCCGCTGTGCCAAGCAACGGTGTTCGAGTGACAACATGTTCCCACAACGCATGATTATGTTTTGATCAGAGTTCCAGCTTGGAAAGGGGGGCAGCGGCTCCTGTACAGAATGTCCAGTTTCTTTATCCTTGCTCAAGGCAAGGCGGTACAGGGCAAGACTCGGTGAGAGTGGTGTCAAGAAGGTAAGACGCAAGATTTGCAGGATGTTCCCGGACTGGCCGGGCCATCGTCTGTCGTTCTGATCCAAGTGGGCGATCCAAGTCTTGTGACAGCACCAAGTGATTCAGTGATTGGCGCGTGGCAGACCGATTATCGGCTCAAACAATTCCCAACTGCCTAGAACAAAAGGCCGCTGGGTGGGAAGGGGGGCAAAGTGCATGATGGTAGAGGCAGTGCGGGTACATGCATGTGCATTTGGGTTGCAAGTCAGAACATGCTTAGCAGCTTAGCTGTGTTTGTTCACCCCCGTATTTTCATCCTTGGGTTAGTTAGCTGCATGTAAGCAGATCAGCCGTTATTTCTGACCCTAGCCGCTGCAGCGCTGCAGTCAGGGGTCAGCTCCGGAAGACAATGCCTGATTTGCAAATGGATATGGTGGCACAGGCCCGACAGAGTCGTCGTGTCATAATCGGTGCAACTACCTTGTCATACTGAGTCGCAAACGGATGGGTCTTGAACTTCTCCAACCTGAGAGCGATGGCCTCCAACCTAATAGCAACTACCTTGTCATGCTGATGTTCTTGGATTGTCCAAACGAAGGTGAAGGATGCCTGCGCAGCCGCTTGACAGCACTTGTTCTGCGCCGCCAACGGTGCCAAATCACGTGGCCGTCACCGGCGACACGCGGCCACTCGTGACACCGCTCGTCGGACCGAGGAGACCTTCTCCCCAACCTTACGGGAATGGTTTCAAATGACCCGCAGCGTGAAGTCTTGCCCAGCCAGTGAGTGTGGCCAGTCTCCAGACCTCTCTGATGTTGACAACAGTGTGGACACAACAGCCGAGCCCTACTCCGGGCAACTTGGCATCATAATTTGAGACAAGCCACATGATTCTCACATGATGCCTGGAACCTTATTGACTTAGTGAGTGGGTGGAAATTGCCTGCGAGGTTTCCTACTCCAGACAATTCACCAAGACTGCTTGACTCGCAGAAGTCCATGCTCAGCAGTTGGGAACATGGCAGGACCAAGTTGTCCAGCAATGCAGCGCCGTTCAACCCAGCCTCAGTCAACCAAGGCACTGCTTGGTATGCCGTTCCGATTCAGCCTATTCAGTACATGAGACGGCCATGGCCTCCTTACCCAGCCCCGGAGCACCCACCAAACCTCTCTTGCCTCGAACCGTCATGCTCTTGGGGCACACAATGCACGCCTTGCACATTTTTCCATTCCCAGGGCTGTGCCAAGGGCAAGGAGTGCAACTTTTGCCATTCGTGCCGACCTCGGGACTGGCCACAAGCTGAATCCTAGACGACTTTGAAGGCGAAGACGCGGCAACGCCCATTCAGCGTCGTCCCCCTGACCGTTTCAGGGTAGTGCATACACTCATGGGCCAACAAAGAGAGCGGCCGAACCTTAGTGAGTGACCTAGCTAGATACAGTAGATATCCGGTGCCCAGTCGCAATCCGGTGCCGAATTCGCCCAGCCCATGTGATTGATGCAGTTTCCGGTTCACAGGCACCGGTTGCCCATGAAAATGACGAGGCAAATCATTCTCTTTACAGTAGTTTGCCTCAGTTGCTTCACCCGCTGTGAGTGAAGCTGCATTCCATGTTGGCCCACTGAAGATCTGAACCTGTCCAACTGAACATGACCCGAAGGCCGAAGATGCTTTGTTGCACGCATCGGATCAAGTGGCCAACAGTAACCACGGGCTCAAAAACTGACCCGTTGTTCTGGATACCTGTTAAACTTTTCCCTTGAGCCAGGCCTCCAAGCGCATGGTAGAAGCAGTCCTGCCAGCCCTAGAATCCCTAGGAGCTCGGGGCAGCAGTCTTCAGCTAGACACGCTGGATGTGTGCCGACACTGTGATTGGTTCAAAGCTGCAAAAGGCACCGACCAATTGTGCTGGCTTCTTGTCTCCAAACGGAATGAGACCGAACGGGGAGTTCGTCAGAGAAATTGACGAAGACTGGAGAGACTAAGATGGCTCGCGTGAGTTCAAGCTTTGGGCAAACTAAACATGCGAAAACAGCTTTTTGCCTGTTTGTGTCTTCTCCCTTTCAAGTTGATCTTCGTTTGCATTTGCCTTTGTTTCTGAAAGGCAGTGCTACGAAGCTTGCCTGCAACTACCGCTTTTGAACAACTGCCCCATGCAGAAGGACTGCAGCCCCAAAGCCAGCTTTCCACACATTATGGAGTGATGTCCGCTTCACATCCTCACATAACTCATGTCCAAACGTCCACGCATGGAGCCTGTCCGGGTTGCCGCTGTTGGTTGTGGAGTCGTTTGGCGCCATCATCTCCAAGCGGCCAATGGCTCAGCAAACAAAACCAGATAAAACATGATAAATGCTTAGCCTTATGAAGCACACATAATACGCACACTATTCAACGCCTTTTAGCCCACAGATTCACGTTTGTTTCTTGTTGTATCAAGTCACGCTGAGGTCTTGGCCATGGAGCCCAGAAGCTGAGCAGAAAAATATCTTTTCAGTGAAGGGAGCGGGCAAAAAATCAGCGGATCTTTAGAAGAACGGACCGAAAAGTGTCATGTCAGATCTCTGAGAAGGAGGGTTCGTGTCAGCTCTCCAAAGATCAGTCACACTTCTTTCTTTTGGTAAAACCACATCTGCTCTCAGCGCCGTTGAGGGCTCCTCGTTTACACCAGTGTGGTGGAGCCGGACCTATCAAGGCGCCTCAGCGCGCTGAAGGACAGTGGTGCCAAGAAGGCCTTTGCCACGCTGGAGGAAGCACTGCAGGTGAGCTGGGCAGACGTAGTGGTACGAATCGGTTGTTTTCCAAAAGGTATGATCTGAGGCTGGAAGAAACCATGACTCATCTAGTTTCATGTATGTACTGTATATATCTGTAATTGCGAAAGCCAGCCGTAGGCTAGGCTGAAGGTCTGAATAGCGAACGAAGTGAGGGAGGGGCATTGCACAATGAGTAGTTTTGGTCAAAAATCAGAATTTATTGGGGAAAACCGGCCAAAAGTGGGTGGACGTGCGTTGAGCAACATTGTAAGTTTTGGAAAAGTAAAAGAACGAGGAAGAAGGAAAGAAGACAGAAGAAGGGTCATGCAAGATGCAGGAAAGTTCGGTACTGGAATTGACACGTTGTGAGTGTGTGCTGCTTATCTGTATCTTTTTGTTACATTTTAGCTTTAGAGGAGGAAGAAGGAATAGGCAAGAAGAAGGAAGAGACAGGAAGAAGGGGAAAAGAACGAAAAGGAAGGACAGAAGCAGGAAGAAGGGTCCTGCAGGATGCAGGAAAGTCGGGTACTGGAGTGGACACGTCGTGATTGTTTTGGGCGGACACGTAACCTTGAACTGGCCGTTTGGCCAGCGAGTTCATCAGGGGTGCAGCCTTGTCAAACTCATGCATCCATAGTGCAAGCCGGTCGCTGCTGAGCGAAGTCAAGGACACTGGGACAGAATGATAATGCCATGCCTCAACCAAGATTTTCGTTCATCATGGAGCATAAGAACGTTTGTACTGGCCATGTAGATCATTAAAGGGCCCATTTACTGGTCCATTTGTGCAATTTAAAGATGTCTTGCCCATTATTGCCCTTCAGTCCAACCGCCCCATCGCTCGAAAAAAAGGTACACACAAGCATTTTTGAAGGTCCACAAACTAAACATTACGTCCCAAGCCAACAGGCATTCGTGGGCTGACGGCCCTTTCCACAACGCACCCACCGTGTTGCGCGAGCCGCTGCGATACTGCCGCGCATTGTCCGAAGCTACAGGGAGAAAGCAGGAAGTAGAAGGAGAAGGTGGGCACACGAAGATGAGTGAGTGAGTGAGTGTACACTGGGGGGGGCTGGCTTTCGTCCCCTCCCTTCTCAGGCTGTATCGATGAAAGGTTGATAGATACTGTAGATAGGTGGATAGATGGATAGGACTTGGACAGGTTTCGACTCCGGATTGTCCCCGTCTCCAGCATGGTACGATGGTTCTACATATTCGGGCTTTATTGATCAACAGTCGACGTGAATCTTGACGAAGGTGGCTGAGATGGATTGAGGTTCTCCCTCTCAACAGTGCCCCATCAACCTTTGCGGTGGCGCCTCCATGATTCAGCCGCCTGCGGCTCGGACGAGCCACGCGCGAAAGCTAGAAGATTAGCGAGATGAACAGGGTGAATGACAAACGCGCCTCTATGTACCATGGTGGGTCCTTACGCCGTAAAGCTGCTGGTTATAGTTATATATATATATTTTTTTTTACATACACCGTATAATTCAGACTTTTGGGACTTTGGAGTGCCATTGGAGCGGCGTGATGAATCAGCAAAGGGCGTCGCCATTAGGAGCAAGAAACTGCTAGTAGCTCCCGGCGTGACTACTAGGAACAAGAAGAACTACTAGGAACAAGGGCATTGCTACAAGCAGCAGTCTTCGTGACCTCAGGTTGAGGGCCTCACCACCTCGTCCCTGCCAATCCGCCTCGCCTGGGAGGCCGATCCTGACCAGGAGCTCTTTGAAGCGGTCGCTCCTCGCTTCCAACGGCCTCCAGAGGGGTTCCCCAAGTCTGCCGGGACACAAGATGTTTGGAAAGTGAACATTGGTGCCCATGCCGCTATAAATAGACATAGTGACATAGTTATTGTTAGTTTTCAATATATATATTTATGCAGTATATCAACACTTACATGAATGTTTCACACTTGGCAATGCAAATTGCACCTGAAATTGCTGCCTGGAATTGGGCTGTCTTTCGTACCAAGTTGTCCCCGTCCTGTCAACCAGAGTTCGCTTCGTTTTCAGGTCATTTGCTAATCCAAGAGTTCCTACGCCGCACCCAGGACATCATGGTTCCCAATGTTGGCACGCTACATGAGGAGGTGGCATTGATTGCCCAGAAGGCAAACCGACACATCCTCTTGGAGAAGCCAATCTCTGCTACCCGGCCCGTACCTTAAGATGTAAGCACAAGCTCAAAGAAGCGCTTCCGCACATGCCCCACTAACAATATCAGGGTTGATCAGTTTATTGACACTCAACTCCAGCCTTGAGGTTTGCATTGCATCTGGGCAACGTATTTTGCAGTCACAAGGCCCTGAGAAGGTCTTGGCGGTGGCAGAGAATGCCCAATACTGGCGCGAAGTGGTGGAAGCCCAGCGACTCATCCAAAGTGGCGCAATTGGTGACGTGCTGACAGTGAGAGCTGCTTGGATTAGATCATCGGAAACTCCAGGTGGTCAGGCCCTTCAAGGACACCACCATTCGGTTCACTGGTGGTGCAAAGCGCCACATCTTTGAGATTCGTATCTTTTGATGGGACCTGGCTGGAGGCCAAGTTCTGGGAAAGCGCCCATCCAGCATTGAACGAATGGGCGGCTGATGGGTCCTACGAGGCAGGCAGCTTCATCGCTGACGCAGCGGAAGGCTTCGTCTTTGATGGGGGCCTGCATTGGCTGCGGCCCCTGCGAATGTTCCTGGGGAAGGCCATGTTGGGAAAGTCCCGTCCCTCATGTCTCGGCGTTCCCTTGCCAAAATCTTTGGAACTAGCTAGCTGATCATGTCTTTTGATTTAAAGTGCGAGCGTTTCTGGTCCGCCTTTTCGCCCAGGCCCAATCCGTTTCAGCCGTAGCTGGGCGGGCGTTGCCACACATGCGTGGTCCTGGGATGACTCAAGCCTTGATTTGCTTCGAGTGCGGTGTTACTGCGGTCTTCGAAGCAATCTTAGCGCCTGGTAACTTGGCACTGTGTTCGTTTAAGGGCACGTGAGCCACTATTTTGTTTCCAATGAAGCCTTGAAAAAACGGAACACGTGTTTGCTGGACCTTTAGGTGCAATTTCAGAGCAACCCTTCTTCGTGATACAGGGTACGAAGGGTGAAGTGGTGTGCCTTGCTGTAAATGTAGAATTTGGATTTGCATTTTTTGCAACCCTCAAAAATGAGCCAACATGCCAATTGATTGCCTGGCTCACCACCCAAAAGAAGACTTCAAGCATACTATGCAGTGCATTGTGTCCGCTTGGTGCAATTAGGCGGGCTTCAGTAGAGAAGTGCGTTCTTGCAGTTGATCTCGAAAGCCAGTCACGACGAGGCTTGATGGGTTTGCTGGGGGTGGCCGCATTTACTGCATCCAAGATGGAAAGATGATGGAGCAGGCTGTGGTGATTTTGGTGGTTCCCGGAAGATGAAACGCCACAGACCCAGTTTGGGCCCCTGCGGGTCGCGGGTCGAAGTGAGGACATCAACCGGGACTATTCTGGACCCGTTGGATGGGACACCGGATATGCGGGAGAGATGCGTGACTTTGCCCTGGCCATTCGACAGAAGACAGCCTTGGCAGCAGCACCACATGAAGCTCTGGAAGATCTGAGCGACTTGGATCAAGGATGTGTCTCTTGTTTTAGCGCACCACGGTGAATGCCATGCTGTGTTCGTTTTTTAATCGCAAAGTTTTCGCATCCTCCTTTTCATCCTTTTCCGAGTTTGAGCCTGAGCATCCGTCCGTGCTTGGGTCTGTGTTCGACTGCTAGTGACGACACCTGGATCCAAGGGCTCATGTTGGCAATCATGAGGGCTGCAAAGACTCGGCAGTGGCAAGTGGTGGCTGACGTGGATCCAGAATTGGACATGGAAAGCCTTCAGCTTCAAGTGTGAGAAAAGAGGTTTGGAGCTTGCACAGGGTGCTTGGTTCATGGATGGTTGGAGCTTAAGATTCCTTTGAAACTGAGAGGGCGTCTGTATGGGGTCAGGGAACCAACCGAATCTGAGTTAGCGAGCTTGTATTTTGGTACGGGCCCTGAGAATGCCAGCTCAACAGGAGAACCATGGAGCATCCACATTTTGTGTCCACAGTTCAGTGAACAATCTCGCAACTTGGTGTGTGGCTGAAATGTCGATGAGTCATGCCTCATTTGCCTACAGCTTTCTTCCACGTAGGCGCTTTGCTCAAGCCTGGCCGGGCAGTAGACATCAAGTTTGTTTTGGCTGCTTCGTGACCATTTCATTTGTGCACCACCATGGTGGAGATGCAGCCAGGCATTTGCAAGCTGGAGTGTCTTGACGGCAGAGCTTGACTTGTCAGCTGGCCTGTCTGCAAGAAGACTAAGTATATAAGAGGAAAAACTTCAAGTCTCGGTGTCCTAGCTGAAGAACAGTGGTGCAAAACGATGCAACACGATGCCCCCCTTAAAAAACGATGATTTTGTCATGCTTCCAGGTTCGCAATGGGCTCGCACGGGCTTTCATGGCGGGCAGGCTCAACTGAGGTGGAGAGGGTTTCATGTCAGGCACGTTTGCTCGGGGTGAAGCCTGGCTGGTCCATCAGTTCCTTGGAAGACACATAGCTTCAAAGGGCTGACAACAGGTCCTGGGGAAGGATAGGCTCCATGGCTCAAACTGTCCCCAGCCCTTACCATTGCCAGAGAAGTGTGTCGAAAAACATCTTAGGTATGATTGATGGCATCCCGATCGAGACTAGTTATCAAGCGTGGAATGAGCTGATGAGATGCAAGAAGTCCGGCAAGAAGTACCAGGTTGGCGGGGATGTGATGGAGAAGTGGTCAGTCATTCTATTCCTATCAATTTGTGACCAAGTTTGTAATTGTATGCCTGTCATCTCACACTGATACCTGTGGAGCATCAAGCATTGTATAATTATATAGTATGTATAATATTGTATAATCATTTACGCAGTATATCTTTAGAACCGTACTGCACGAATCCGCAGGAGGACCTCGACAGTTGACTCAACCCTTTGCTTTTTGATTTTAGGTCTACTTCACGAAGGATGAGGCCTCAATTCGTGACGATCAAGCAAAAGCCGAAGCAGAGAGAGCCAGGAAAGCAAAACAGGACTGATTCATTCGGTTCATATCCATTCAGAACATGCTCACAAAACGTGATGTGGTTTCTGTGTTGATATTTTCCTATACTTCCCTTGTTCTGCGACAAAACACTACACGCATCGTCGCATCGTGGTGTGACACTACACGCATCGCCTGTTGCAGGAAGAGGAGAGAAAGAAACGGGAGGAGATTGAGCGGAAGATCCGTGAGGAAGCTGAGAAGAAGCGCGCCGACGAGATTGCATCCAAGAAGCAGGATGGGGAGCTGAGTCCCAGCTCTTGAAGTCAAGTGAAGCACATACCCGCACACACACACAAAACAAAATAAATAGATAAACAAAAAATATATATACACACCGTGCATGCCCACTTACACAAATGTAAGTCCTCCTTTATTTGGATCGACTTTTCACAAGTTCAACAGGTTTAAAGTAGCAAGTACGAAGCAACCGTACATTTAATTGGTAGTCAAAGTCATAGTCACATGTTCATGGCTCAGCAAATAGTGCACGTTAACGGCAGTTCGTTTGGGGGGTGAACTCTCTGTTTGAGCAAGCCCATCGATCTTTACAGACCTGCCATTCGAGCCTTTGAGCTTGCGGGTCAGTGTAGGGCTTACTAAACACTGCCCTTGCAGGTGGGACCCCCCATACCAGGCTTTGAGAACCAGGCCCCACATACCTGATTTGAGCAATTCAGCATGGTAGCGTTTGGTTTCACTGTGTTTCTTCATGTTCTCACTTCTGGGGGTGAACAATGGGCTTTGTATATAGTATACACGAACTACCTGGCATACCCAGTGCCGACGTGAAGGGTGCAGAGGCTTGCTTTTGGACCGAGTCACCATTTTGCCTGGGTTTCGCTGCCATGCCTCAGGAGTACTGGGACAAGCAACAGGCAACCCAAGAGGCTGAGGCCGAAGCAGTTGAGGGTGCAGAGCCAAAGGAAGGTGTTGAGGCAGCTGCAGCGGAGGTGGTGGAGGGTGAGGAGGCCCCGGCGGAAGCGGCCGAAGCGGCTGATGCAGAAGCCCCCCCAGCGGAAGCACCAGCTGAAGATGCGGCTTAGGTCGACCGGTCGAGATCGGGCCGAATATAGAGCCTAGAGGAAGACAAGGTGATGACCTAAGGATGACCCAATAGGAATCCTTAAACATACTATATAGTAGAGCTAAATTACATTGGACATTACGAAACACGGGTTGAAACATGTTGAACTCGAGGGGATGAAAATAACACTCGTGCCAAATTCAAGGCAGAGCAATCATGAGATCATCGGGGCGGATCATCATGCCCTCAAAGTTTCACCCGCATGTGACTTGACTCAGCTCCAGAGCAAGGATCAAGCTCTTGCAACTTTGCCGTGAGCAATTCATGCGCAGAGACTGGAAGCCCTTGAGAACAAAACGTGCTGACATAGCCAGTGTATATTCAGTATTCACTTCCCTTCCCTCCATTGTGCCGACGCAAAGGCAAGAGTGCAGGCCAGTGCATTCGTTTGCACGTCTGATTATAGCTCAAACCTTTGCATCCTTCGTATCCACCGGTGGGCATCCGAGTAACTATATAGCGCCACCGCCTTAGATTGATTGATGCTGTTCCATTTTATTTGGCCTGCATAAGCCATTGCCATCGAGCGAGATCGAGCCTCCACGCTCATAACTTGTTGCAAGGCACGCATGAATGCAGGGGATGTGGAAAGCAGGAGAAGCGATTCAGTGGGTGTGAGAGGTGAAATGTGGCAACTAGGATCAACATCATTCAGATGTGCCGATCGTGCTCTCAGGAGCCTTGCTGGTGGCCCATCGCCATCAAAGCTCTCAAAAGGCAAGAAGGTGCAGATTTTGCAGGAGACACATGTATATATCCCGATCAGCCACACGGAGACTGTATTCAAACTTCCAACCAGTCAGATGAGCTGGTTTCTCGATGAGCCTGGGACGTTGTAGGAACTGTGTCAAGATACCAGAGAAAAGCCTACCATCTCAGTGCCTCACTTGCATTTTCAGTCGTGTGATTTGGGACAGGCTGCTGGAAGGAGGTTGTGCAGGTTTTAACAATGGTTATCAGGACGTGCAGGCTAACACGCAGTTGCGCATTTTCTGAGTCTTTGACACTTCATTTGTTTGCATCCTTTCTGTGGTGCATGCGTGAGAAACTGTCTTCGTTTTCCTTAGTTTGCTCAACACCATTCTCAGTTTTTTTTTCTGGCTTCTCATCAAACGGTTTGGGGAAGATACACTGCAAAGACAGACATGAGAAAAAAGTTCGACTTATATAGTTCGATACCAAACTTCATCACATCAGGTAGATACAATCCGGAATGTCTTTGACGACCAGATGGAAGAAATGCACGGCCTCTTCGTGCAGCATTTCCAGAAGAACAAGCGAATGTCGGCATCTTGGGGCACGTGGACCTCGTGGAGTTCAGCTCAGAAAACTTGCCCCCCCAGAAGTGGTGTTTATTTTCGGAGCCATGTCCTTGGTCGGGTGTTGTTCTTCTTTTAGGAGCCATGAGCCTGTTGATTTTCGGGTGTTTGGAGGCTCGACAAGTTGGAAGAAGCTCAGAAGATGAGGGACCTCGAGTTGGGGGAGCTCCGGAACCAGCCCGGTGCTGAGATGCAGCTGGCGGGGCCCGACCGTGCCATGACTCGCTTGAAAGGTACCTCTTGAGGTCTCTTGGTGAGTTCTTCTAGATATAGCTTCAGCACACTTCATGTCTTTTTCTGTGGTGGAAGCGCAGATGCCAAAGCATCCATAGCAACAAGACGTGGAGGCCAAATTCCTGGGCGACGCCTCAGGGGCTTGGTGTTGTCATGGTGCTGAGTATGGGTTCTGCTGCAATGCGTTGGCGACATGCCACCATGAGCATTGCTTTTCCATCGGTCGAGTGGCGCAACCTCAGGAAGTTTGTGAAGCACATAGTGTTTGCGCCGACTGTCATCCACCCGACTGAAGTCCCTTCACCCTCGTGGTTGATATGGATGCAGCCGATTGGGACTTTGATGGGGGCTTGGACTTCGCCTTGGCCAGCTGCAGCAAGACGAAGAGGGACAAATGCCATTTGGACATGTTGAGCTGCAGTGCCCAGTTCTTTGAGCGCAGGCAAGGCCGGAGAGGGGGGCTCCGGAGGGGTGTCGATGGATGGTTGCGGACCAGACTTGGGACGGACAGTTTGGCAACGGCAGCGCAGACTCCTGAAGATGGTTGATTGGGATAAGGCAACGGCACTGATCTTGTGCTCAGCTCTGGAGACAGTTCCTTGAGCAGGGTCCTAGTTCAGTGTGATGACCCTCACGCGTGCTGGACGACCTGCTTCAAGGTCGACCCTAGTCCACCAAAGAAGCCACACAGCCACGTGGCTTTGCAACTTCAAGATGTTGCTCTGGCAGCGACACCCGGCGGACCCTGGTGGCCACAAAGGCTTCACGAACCTCCTAAAGCCAGACGTACATAGCCACTGGGACCCGTGAAAACAATCCAACCGGACTGTGACCAGAAATGGTCTTGGAGCACCGGAGAGGCGCGGGACCGTGGTGAGGGCGAAGCCAATTGCATATCCCTTCATAGGTAGGGACCTGGTTGTCCCAGGCGCAGAGAGACTGGTGACGGGAATCGCGGTTGGGAGCTCATTCAAATGCTAAGCATGAAGGCCATTCCCAGTTGGCACGCAGTGCAAGCCAGAACCTTCCATACTTGTTGGGCAGCAGCACCAACCTTGAAGCAGCGAAGCAGCATCTTCCTCGTTCAGTCTTGGTGGTGCAAGTTTGTAGATTCCATCCTTGAGCTCCGGCCGGCTCATGAGATTGCATCTGCGTAGTCAGATCCAGGCAGGGTACTCTAGGCATAGTTTCTACCAACTAAGCAGAATCTGATCAGAACGCAATCTGTGTATGGATCTTGGTCCTGCTCTATGCAGATTCACTACAGAACGCCCAGTGAGCATTGGGGTTCGTTTTGACCGACAGTTTCCTAGTGCTAAGACGCACGTGCATTGAGTTTCACAGTGCAACCAATCCTATGCACGCCAATCCCACGCCTCATCTCTTCGACCTTGAGACATCTTGAGACCTAGAGGGCCCCAGATCACAAACATTCGACGTTGTGAAGCCAGTTCCAAAGCAACCTATGATAGTGACTGGCATTTCAGACCCTTGGAGTCCATTATAGAATCGAGGGGCTTGATGTGTGTTCTCAAGTTTCTCACCCTTTTGGTGTGCGTGGATGTATAATGGACCACCTTGGCGTAGCATGTTTTCTGACGTCAAGACTGCAAGAAGGCTTTGATTTTATGATCGAATTCCTCTCGGTAAACAATTATCACTACTTTAGAGGAAAGCCTTACTTACCGTCATCATCCACTCTTACAGGGAACCGGATGATATAATATGATATATATATGATTATATATGCAAATGGCGTTTATTGAACCAATGAACAACCAACTTTGAAGCAGAGATTATGTTTGCTGTCGGGTTGCCCTTGCTTTTTGAGGCTTCTTGCGCAGAGCCCAACTCGTGGGCAGGCTCTCCTTGCTTGTTGTGGGTGTCGGGCCGGTAGCTTCGAATTGTTGTTTTGAGACGCAAGAACTTGTGACAATCCTCGTTGGACTCGTTGGCCCCAACAATTTGACGTCGCTTTGTCAAGGCGAGCAAGATAAATGGGTTGAATGTGGCTCAGCTGGAGACGGCCCCATCCCTAGTTCTTTTCTTGCATTAGCAGTTGCATTGTTAGCCCCTGCTCTTGCGAGGGTTTTTGGCAACTACCTCAACCATTGATGCAGGATTATAAATTTCCATTAGGAACCAGCGAAAAATCAGTGAAAACAATGATTTTGGCTGATGTTTGCAGGGTTTCCGTAAGGTTTGCCGTAAGGACGTGCAGATGGCGAAGTAAGGTTACCGAAAGTGGAACTTGTTTACTTTCACGACGGCTGGGCCCAAAGATGTTGAACAACGTACCACATGTGACCACAGTGAACTTCCATACTTCGGCTGTAAACGCAACGTAAGAATAATCTTGCGTACATGTGTTCCTGTAAGGAAAAAATAGAAAAACGGTCTAGCGCAACATTGGATTTCCCGGAAAGAAAACACAATTTTGAACACCGCTCATTTGTTGCCATGTGGTATTCTTTGAGTGCTTGTAGGGCTCTGGACACAGGAAGACTGACACAGACTGCCGCCAAGACGACAGCCGGAGAGCAATGCTGCTACGTAAATATTACGATTCAATATCCGGACTAGAGCCATGAAGAATTGCAGAAGGTTTCGGCTTTCCAACAGCTGGCATTTTCTGGAACAATTTCCCTCCGGATTTGTGGAATGGTTATCGGCAACCACAGAAATTCTCCAATTTTTCATTGATTCTGTCAAGCTCTATGTCCTCCGCCATACGTCAGGGGTTTCCGCCATAGGCTAGGCAAAAGCCGTGAGACTTCGCCTTGATGGGCTTTTTCGGGTGTATATAGAGGGGTATAGGTGCCCAAAACAGGCACTGGTACACCCAGGGTCATACACGCAGGATTGTACTGGTGCAGGTGCTTGAAATTGCTTGAACACATAGATTGAGCAAACTTTCTGTAGTGATATCATTACGGTGCAAAATGCCATGGCAAACAGCTTGCACTGCAAAAGGCGAAGAAGCTGCTCGTCCAGCGTGATGCGGTGGCTGGACAGAGAAATCGAGACGTCCAATGGTGAAGCCAAGCCTTTTCCGCATGATTGTTCATGGATTTCAAGACCCGCGCTGAATGTTTGATTGAGAGTGGTGACCAACCAAGGCTTGTCGACTGGCCGAGCAGGAAAACTTTCAGCTCAGAGAGCAGCTAGCTGCAATGCAGGTGCTAGCTTTCCTTCCCCGTGCTGGGTGAAACCGCAGAACCGTGAAAGAGATTGAAAGTGTGCAAATATGAAAGAGAGCGCATGTGCCCTGTGATGCTCCGTGTGTGCATTTGCAGGCGGCTGGCAACCAAAGCTCTATCATTTTGAAGAGCACAGGAAGTGGTACTGCTCTCAAAGCCTCTCCAAGATGCGGTTGTTTTCTTGTCCTGCATGTGGACCTCCAGGTGGTATAGTGAAGGCCCCTGATCCAGTGTCTCCATCACCACCTGCCATTGCAGATGCTGCGGGGAGCCCCAAAGATGGGCATGGATTGTGAAGTTGCAAAGCAGATATATAAGGACATATATAATGATAATTGACGCGCACCAGAAATGAGACATTTTCCAAGAATTGAGGTCCTGAATCGAGTCGAGAGGGCGCAAACCATCTTAGAAACTTGGGCCAATCATCACCACCCGCAGTGGCCTGAGTCTCCATAGTCGGTTGAAGCCGAATCCCTTGAATACGGCCCATCTCACCTAGGAGGATCAAGGCCCCGGAGTATGTGGATTCAGATGATGAAGATCTTGATCTTCCGGGCACTGTGCCACATCGCAGAGGCCATTTGAAGCAGGTGTGCGCGTCGTTTCTTCAGTTGCAGTTCCTTCTGACAGGTGAGAGCAAGGCTCCAGTAGATGATAGAGAGGAGGTGGAAGAGGATGAACCGGTGGACCCCAAAGCCGAGTGACCTGAATTGAAACCGAGTGAGCGGGGCCTGTTTTGGCATTTCGAGACAGGTCAGGAAGAAGAGAAGGAATATCGTCGGTTGTGAGCGGCCAGTGTCAAAACGTGTATGCAGTGTATGTGATACGCAAGCTCGCCGGGCTGACGGGATTCTTTTGGAGAGGTACCTGAAACAAACTCAAAAGCAAAGAAAGAGGAAGGCTTTGAACAGCAAACTTCGGGCTCTTGACATGAAGTCTCGAATGCGGGATGCATTTGCTGAGCCATCTTATATTGCTACTGATCCTTGGGCAGCAGACCATCACGACATGTGTAAAGTTCACGCTGTGCACTTGTGTTTCGGCAGTTCGAACTGTTTTCGACCTTCACTTACCGTCGTTCCCTCTCAAGACTGGGAGGGCAGTTGCCTTGCAAAAGGCGCGGCCGCGGCGCTTCAGTGCGCCCTCTTGTTTTCGTGTTTGCGGACTTCGGGTGCCGCTGCTCTACCTTTTTCGCATTGGTAGCGGAGCCTCCTCCGGGAGGCTCCGAGTCCTTTGCGCGAAGAAGAACGAGGTTCTGCATAAGTCCTTTGTCACGAACCCTTGGCCGAGCTCTTTTGTTTCCTCGTTGAAGAGCCCTTTCGGTCTTGGCTACTTGTTTGAGAATGCCACCAACGACATCGGCTGCAGAAGGTTCCAAGGATGGGGACTACCTCAACCTGCGCGACTCCTTCGTTCCACTGTTCAGTGGACAACCCCAGGACTACAAAGAGTACAGAAAGAGGCTGATGCTCTACCACCACAAGATGAAGATCAGCAAGCGCTCAGCCGAGTCCGTCCTGAACATCCTGGGAAGTTTTCAGGGTGTGACGTGGCGGTTGTTCGAGGACTTCTCAGTTGAAGAGGCTGAGAAAGAGGATGGCTTCAGCAAGATCATCACCAAGCTCGACAAGAACTTCGAGTATGACGATCGTGTGCTCCTTCCGAATGACTTTGAGGAGTACTTCAACTTGTTGCAAAGGAAGCCACAGCAAAGCCTCCTGTCCTTCGTCACCGACCATGACACCGCCTATCGTCGTTTGACTGCCCACAATGTGACTCTTCCAGTCCAGGTTCAAGGATGGCATCTACTCCGACGTGCTGCTTTGTCAAAGGAGCAACGCCAAATGGTGACGCTGAAGGCTCCTACGTTGGAAAAGAATTCTGTCATCGAAGCCCTGTACCTGCTGTTCGGTCAGGACTACAAGGCAGGCGGCTGGAATGCTGAACGTGAGCGAAAGTTCAACCGCTGGAAGGGCCGCGGCTACGCCGCATTCGATGAAGAAGATGCCTACTGGTCCGAGCAACCCTGGACAGAAGACGCCTACTATGAGGCCGACGACTGGTATGATGACACTGCCCCTGACGATGAGGCTGACTTTGACTATGACGCCATCTACTACGGCGAAGAGGATGAACCTGGAGAACACCATGACCTGTCCGAAGATCCTCAAGAGTTGGCCGAAGAGTATGACCACGCCTATGCCACCTACTTGGATGCCCGGCAAAGATTCCAGCAGCTCAAGTTGGCTCGTGGCTACCTGCCGATCGTCGCCCTCACTGATGGCCAGAACGCTTCGCCCGCCTCTGGATCCTCTTCACCTTCGAAGGGCGCCGGCAAGAACAAAGGAAAGGGCAAGAGCAAAAGCAAAGGAAAAGGAAAGAATGTGGTGCGCTATCCACCCTCCTCAGGTGGAAAGGCTGATCCAAAAGGTCGTGCAAAGGCAACTACATGCCTTCGTTGTGGCCAACCAGGTCATTGGGCAGCGCAATGTCCACAAGGTGCGAAATCACCCTCATCGTCCAACAAGAGACCTGCGCCCACTGAGGGTATGGCCTTGCAGAATGAGACCGCCTTGGTCCTGTTCCAGGATGAGATGGGCACCGACCGACCGGATGCCACCATGCTTGACCCAGGTGCATCTGCCTTCCTGTGCGGATATGGTCCATTCGGCCGCTATTTGAGCCACTTGCACTCCATGAACTACCCCATCAACACCATCCGCTTTGCTCGATGTGACCGCCAGTTCCATTTTGGTGGCGATGCATCCTCACGAGCTTCATGGACAGTGGATCTCCCGGTGATGATCGATGGCCAGTTCGGCACGATCCAATGCTACCTGGTTCCTGGCAACACGCCAATGTTGATGGGCCGACCTGTGATTGAGGCTCTGCACATGGGCATCGACTTCAGCCAGAAGCGCATTCGCTTTGGGCAATCGCCTTGGACCTCAGTGCTTGTGGGCCGCCATGGCGAGTACTTGTTGAGCCTCACCACTGGCATGGAGGAAGTACCTGATCCCACGAAAACCCTATTCAGCCTTCGCATTGCTGAGGAAACACCTGGCAGCCATCTCCACTTCGAGGACTTTAACAAGCTCGAACATGTGTTTCAGGCTGAAGATGTGGCTCTAGCAGGTGGCGAATTGCAATCCACTCGCCTTCATCGACATGCCCTTCGAACCATGGAGACTCAGTTGGTCACTACCTCAAACTCCACCGAAGCCTATATCACTCAGGAGCTTCACAATCCTCCCGACCATCGACGAGTTCTCTGGGAAATCTATTGTGGCAAAGCTCGCACTGGCCACATCGCAGAGGAGCTTGGCATGAAGGTGGAAAGATTTTCTTTGGACAATGGCTGGGACTTCAACCTCATCAGCCATCAACAACAGCTACTCCAACGACTTGATGAAGAAGAACCTGATGAAGTGCTGGTGGCACCAGAATGCCGCCTGTGGTCAAGAATGCAAACCTTGGCTTGTCGCACCCCTGCGCAGCAAGAAGCCTTGAAGGCTCGACGTGAGCACCACCATCGTCGCCATCTCTGCTTTGCCAAGCGCATCTACCTACGACAGGTGACCAATGCACGGCATGCCCACTTGGAGCAGCCCCGACATGCCTTGAGCTGGAACACGATGGCTCTCCGAGATCTTCCTGGTTACTATGCCGACTTCGACCAATGCCGCTATGGAGCAATGTGCATGGACACCGACGGCATCTGGCGACCTGTCCAAAAGAGCACTCGCCTGTTGACCACAAAGCAGGCTGTTTTAGAGGCCTTCCAGCTGAAGTGTGACCATGACCACTACCACTGCCCCTTGGAAGGTTCTGCTCCTGGCTATGACCGCCGGACCACCTACTTGGAAGACTACCAACCTGGCTTTGCAGCGACACTGGCTGCTGCCTTGGCTCGTCCTGAGACCGCTCAACTGTGGGACACCGCCTATGTGGTCGATGAAACTGGCAAGAAAGAGACCGGACACCTCCTCAAGCTCAAGTCTGAACACCGACAAGATGCTCTTCGAACGGTGCAACGGCTACACCGAAACCTTGGCCATCCGGCACCTGATGCTCTGGCTGATCTGTTGACCGCCAGAGGAGCTCATCCCACTGTGATCGCCGCTGCCAAGGAGTACAAGTGTGTGGCATGTCTGAAGCACAAGAAGCCCAACCAGGTTGCTCCATCATCCATGCCACAGCCCAAGACCTTCAACGAAGTGATTCAGGCTGACGTTTTCTACCTCAAGCCAGCAGACCGCAAGTTTGCAGTGCTGAGCATAGTTGATGTTGGCACCAAGTTCATGGTAGCCTACCTGCTTCATGAGGAGACCTCCAAGTCCTACATCACCGCTCTGGAAAAGATGTGGGTTCGCCATTTTGGCCCTCCCAAGAAGCTGATCTCCGATGAAGGCCGACCTTGGCTTGGTGCACCGTTTGAATCTTGGACAAGCTCACTTGGCATTGACCATCAAGTAGCACCAGGAGAAGCTCATGAGCGCCTTTCGTTGGTTGAGCGCCGTCATGCAGTGCTGCGCCGTGCCTGTGAGGTCTACATGGATGACCGCAAGCTCAACGACGCTGCTGGCATCAAGGAAGCACTTTGCTATGTGATCCCACAGCAGAACGCCACACCTGCAGTTGCTGGCTTCTCGCCCAGTCAATGGGTTCTTGGCTTCCAACCTGAGCTGTCCCACCTCATGGACTCCAACCTCAATGCAGCTCAACTTGCTGGCAACAACAGCTCATTTGAGGAGAACCTTGAGCGGCGAACTGCTGCAAAGATGGCACTGGCATCTGCTGATGCTGACTCCAAGCTGCGACGAGCTCTCAGTCGCAAGTACCAGGGCCAGAATCGAGTTTTCCAGTTGGGAGAAAGAGTATGGTTTTGGCGTGATGCTCGCCAAGGAGCCCTGAACAAGATCAGATGGCTTGGTCCTGCCCACGTGGTTCTTCGTGAAGAAGATGCTGAAGCTGATACTGCAGCTCCAAAGGTCAAGACCTACTGGCTCGCCTACAAAACACAGTTGATTCGTGCTGCGCCTCACCATGTCCGTGCAGACATCCTCGGACCTCAGCACGTGCTCGAAGACCTGCAATCAGCCCTCAACAAAGTGAGACAGCTGAAATCCCGTGGAGTCACTAGATTCTACGACTTGAGACGGGTGAACCGCCAACAGCTGGATGATGTCGAGGAAGATGAACAACACACTGACCCTGATGGTCCTCTGCTGGAAGATGATGATGAGCCTCCCAGGCATCGCTTTCGCCTGGAGCCACCCGTGCCGACTGCAGAAGCACCACCACAGATCATCGTGCCCGATGATGACTATGAGCCTACCTCACCTGCTCATTCCAGCTTTGCACCGACGTCTCCCAGAGCACCACCAACACCAGTGATGGCAGAACCAAACATGTTGTTGCCCATGGCCCCAGCCGAGATCACTGTACCAGGTTCACCAGCCACCACTAGGTCCCGCTCACGGGCTCCTACTGTGGTCGAACCCAGCGAAGAGCCAACCATACCATCTGCAGCACCCACACCACATGCTGCATCACCACCGGCTATTGCAACAGCACCTCAAGCATCAATGTCAGGGCCTTCACTGGACCCTGACACTGCAGCATTGTATGAACCAGTCGATGCTGAAACCTTTCAACAACGACGAGTTCGCTTCAACAGACAGGAGACACTTAGTTTTGGCCCCCTGCGAAGACAGCGCATTGGGTCACCACAGCCATACAACACGACGTCACAAACAACAACACCAGAAGCAGAACACAACAGTGCAGAGCACAACACACAAGCAACAGCGGCAGCCGCAGAAGCGCCAGCCCAAGTATCGGCAGCTCCAGCTGCTTCGGATGATCCTGCTCTCTATGCAAGTCAGAAGGCACCTGATCACGCCTTGCTGAATCATGCCTTCCAAGTCTCCGGCATTGAAGCCAACTGCCTGCCAAAAGGTTGGACCTATGAGAATGGCTACTTCCAGCTCGACAAGAGAGACCGCGACTTCTGGGAAGTCAAAGCCGGATGTTTGATCAGACACCATGTGATCCCTCGACGATCCAAGATGTGCCTGCACCAATTGCCAAAAGACAGCCCCTTCACCTCAGATCAGCTTGATCTGGTTCGGGTGACCATTATGTATGACAACAACGGCAAAAGCATCCAACAGACCGACGATGGCTACACGGCTTCCACTCCCTTGGATCGCTCATGGACTGGAGTCACGATCTTCCAGATCAAAGGCGACCTTCGTCGAGAGATGGCCATGTTCGCTAAGGCCCCACTTCAAGGAGCACGACAGCTTGGCAAGGAGACCAAACTCCGGCACGCCAAAAGCTTCAAGAAAGACAAGAACAAGAACAACCTCTCGGAGCGCCACATGACTCCTGATGAGCGAGCAGCCTTCAAAGCTGCAAAGGTCAAAGAGTTGCAATCCTTCTTTGACAACCACGTCTGGCAGTTCGAGACCACCAGAGAAGCTGAGCCCAGTCGGACGCTGACCAGTCGCATGCTGCTGAAGTGGTCAAAGAATCCTGATGGCAGCCCCCGTGCCAAAGCCAGGCTCATTGTCAGAGGCTTCATGGACCCAGACGCTTGGGAAGGAACTGTTCCAACCTCATCGCCCACAACCACGAGGCTGTCGAGATCCATGTTGTTGAGTTTGGCCTCCACCATGCAGTGGCCAATCTGGACTTCAGACATAGCAACCGCCTTCCTGCAGGGTCGACCTCAGACACGCAAGTTGTGGGTGCAGCTTCCTCAAGAGTGTTTGCAGTTGCTTGGAGCTACAGCTGACACCCGTATGTTGCTTCTCAAACCCTGCTACGGCCAGATCGATGCCCCGAGATCTTGGTTCATGGCTGCAGTTGATAAGCTGAGCGCTATGGGCCTCCGACAGCATCCTCAAGACCCTTGCTGCTTCTTGATCTATGAAGGTGACCTCAACCCTGAGTATGACACCACAGCTGAGCACTCCAACCTGCTTGGACCTCATGGCCTATGTGGTATGGTCATCATGCACGTCGATGACATGCTTGGTTGCGGTTCGCCATCCTCCCAGTGCTACAACGACACCATCACCAAGCTGAAGAGCACCTTCAACTTCCGTGAATGGAAAACTGGTGATGATGGAAGGCCCTTGACCTATTGTGGTTGTGACATTCAGGTCAAGGATGATGGTCTCCTCCTCAACCAGACCAGCTACATGGGAAAGGTGAAACCGATCACCTACGACAAGAAGCGCAGCCTCACCGATGCGCTCAATCAGCGTGAGTTGACACAGCTGAGAGGACTTCTTGGTTCACTTCAATGGCCCGCAGTTCAAAGCAGTCCTCACTTGCAGAGCAGCACCTCGATCCTGAGCGGTCATGTCACCAAGGCCACGCTTCAGACAGTGGCCGACACAAATCGCCTGCTGCGTTTTGCAAAAGAAAATGCTGATGTTGGCCTACAGTACAGCCACCTGGGCGAAGTTTCAGAACTTTGTTTGGTATTTTTTTGATGCTGCCTTTGCCACCCGCAGTGACGGAGCCTCACAAGCTGGCTATGTGATCCTGATGGTCAACAAAGCTTTGCTTCAGGCCAATGGTCCCGAAGGAGCCTACCACGTGTTGGATTGGCGCAGTTTGAAAACGCCAAGAGTTGCACGCTCTTCCTTGGGCGCCGAAGCACAAAGCGGTGGTCAAGCTTGCGATGCCTTGGAGCATGCCAGCATCTACTGGAGCTTGTTGGTTGACCCTCGCCAGCGACTCCAAGAGCTCTTGGACGCTCCATCCTTGTTGTCGCCCACCATGATCACGGACGCCAAAGCCCTTTACGACTCCTATCACCGAGAAGGAGTCGGAAGCTCTGTGGTTGACAAGCGAGTTTCGCTTGAGATCCGTGTGATGAAGGATCGCCTGTCTTCACTGGGCGGTTCTCTGAGGTGGATGTCATCGGAGCGCCAACTGGCTGACGGTTTGACAAAAGAGTCGGCCAGAGCACTTCTTGCACAACGGCTACGTCACGGTCGTTTGAAGCTTGTTTGGGACCCCTCATACAAAGCTGCCAAGAAGAAGACAAAAGCTGAGCTCCAACAGAGTCTTGCTGAAAGCATCCATGTGGTACCACCACATGTGATCAATGAGGAACCCGAAAGCATCCATGTGGTACCACCACATGTGATCAATGAGGAACCCAACCTCCACGAGGAGCACCAGCAGCCCATCGACGAGAATCCTGCGGAGAATGACGTGAATGTCGATGAGCAGGTGTTTTGGAATGAAGAGATTTTTCGGAATTCCAAGGTTCCTGTGAATGTCATGTTTGCCAGGACCGACCGGAAGCTTGAGTATGTCTCCGACAGTCCGAGCCATGTCGGAAGCCGCCCGCTCGAGTCCTACCGCGGTCGTAAGACGAATTTCATGTTTTGGTTTTTGCTTTTGTTCATGGCCCCGCAGCTGGTCACGGCCGATTCGGCCAATGTGGAACCTGAAGCTGGAATGGATTGGTTTGGAACTGTCTTGTGCACCCTCCTTCTACTTTTTTTGAGCACAGCCTTCATGGTTGGTCGACGGAGCCATGATGCACACCACCGAGTACCACCCCAGGTCACTGAGGCTGCAGTCCAAAAGGATGAAGCGATCATCCCAGCTCGCCTTAGAGAAGAAGTCAAACGCCTGAAGCAGGAAGTCCTGCGCTGGAGTTCCAAAGCCGAGGAGTCCCGCCTTGCTGCTGTCGAAGCCACGACAGCGATGAATCTGGTTCTAAGAAACCAGAATGCTGCTGAGACCCTTGCACAGGAAGCCTCCCAGATCCTGAAGATCGCCCTGAGGCAGATGGATGAGCATGGAAATGAATGCCCCTTCTACAATGGCATGATCATCAGCCGGCATGGCGCCAGATGGCACACGACCTTGAACTGTTCAAGCCTGGCCGGAAGAGATGAAAGCCTGCAGCGGCGAGTAGATTTCTGCCGCCTTTGTAGTTTGAGGGTGATTCCACCTGACCTTGTCGATGATCGGTCAGGCTCATCTGTGCGGACCTTGGTCTACCAATGGCTGGACCGGTTCGAACAGCGGAACTGGGGTGATGACGAAGGACTCTCCCCCATGTAAAGTTCACGCTGTGCACTTGTGTTTCGGCAGTTCGAACTGTTTTCGACCTTCACTTACCGTCGTTCCCTCTCAAGACTGGGAGGGCAGTTGCCTTGCAAAAGGCGCGGCCGCGGCGCTTCAGTGCGCCCTCTTGTTTTCGTGTTTGCGGACTTCGGGCGCCGCTGCTACCTTTTTCGCAACATGTCTTTTTAATGGCATGACCATGTGTTTGTCCGCACACATACTAACGCAGATCGAGACCGTTCACTGACTTTTAGCAGATCATGTTTGTTGCCTTTGTCAGATTCTTGCCAACATTTTCTTGCCATCTGCAAGAATGTTGCGAGTGAGCGATCTGCCTATCTTTGCGATTCTTTTAGGAGCACTATCACAAGACCGGCTGGGCGCAACACATCGCAAGATCATATTGGTTTGAGCATACTACAATGTTGCTTGGCCTTTTCTTGACTCGGATCGCCACAGCTATTAGCAGTAGAGGTTGATTCGCCATCACTTGCGATGGCAACAGAGTCCGCGAATTCTGAGGCTAGTAATTCTTCTCAATTCTGTTTGGCTGGGCATTGATTCCACCATCAACCGGCAAGCCTTGTTAATCGCTGCGGAGCCTCGCCTGCTGCAAAGAGACTGAGAGAGTTGTAGAATGTTGTAGGTACCTGGCTGTCCTATTACCTGTAACAATCAGTAAACAAGAATATTAATATAACTATTTTTTCAACAAGGCATTTACAAACCATCCGCATCCTCTGCTACTGGCAATAGCATAGACCCAATGGATATTCACTGTCCCGGCCATGGAGAACGACCATCCTCGGTTGATCTACAGGATCCGAGCATCATCGTCATCGAGAACTTGCTTTGCTTGGCATTCACCGTGGAGGTGGGCTGCGACGCAGCTTCCGCACCACCGGGTTGCCCACACAAGCTTCAGGATCCGGTTCCCCCTGGCTGTTTTCAGCTATAAGATCACTTCCCTTGCTGTCGAGCTTTATCACAGCTGGCGATCCAGCGACTCGGGTGGCGAACTCTGGTGCCGCGCCTTTTTCAAACACTGGACTTGGACGCCAATTGATTGCTCTCCAGCTCGCCTAGAGCCGCCCTCATCCTGGAGTAGCCCATGGACACTTGATGGGCTCGGACATGATGGGGAGAGTTGGGAAAGCCACGTCATTGTTGAATTTCAAGATCCCTTCAAAGCACTACACTTAGACAATGGGTTTGCAGTTACATCTGTTCCACGTGGAAAGGAATGGCTCAACAGCAAGGTGAAGCGTCCAAGCACTTGTAGGTGTTTTAACAGAGGAGTTTCTCTCATCTGCGGAAGACTGCGGTGGTGCAGCAGCAGCTCACGAACGGTGGAACGCGGCGGAGGGAAACCTGTTTGGGGGAAGTAGCATGAAAACCACCATGGAAACAACAAGGAAGAGTAGAGTCACAGCGTGTGGAAAAACCGCAGGTACGTCATGGTGATCAGCCGTGATATCCTAGTCAACTGCATGGAGCTTCGTTGGCGACAGCCATGCAGCGACTCTGTCGCCCCCTGCGCACGTGGTGAAAAAGTTTAGACCCTTGGAAACAGAGGGGGGCACACACACACACTCATAACTCATGGGCCCCCCTTAGTGGTAGTGCGATTGTAGGTCTTCGGCCGAATAGCCGTTCTTCTTTAAGGTTTTGGGGAACGGGGCCCCTCACTGCCAGGTGAGGCTCCAGCTGGGCCATTTGTGAGTCCAGCTGGATAGGACCTCACTGGCGGTGACGGGGCAATGTCGGGTGATGTAGCGGAGCCGTGGCGCAAGACAGGAAGGAAGGCGCCACCGGAACACCTTCTTGGCACCACCAAGGACGTGCTACTTGAGGTTGGGCTGTACCACGACGATGGCACGAAGCAGGGGCAAGCCATTGTCCAGGTACTGGACGTGGGTGAGGAGATCACCGATGGCAAAGGCAGGATCCACACAGGGCATTTCCATGCCATTGAGGATGAATACTACGCCTGGTGGCTGAAAAAGGAATTCGCTGGGCGGCCAGTCCCTCTGCACTTTTGCATGGCACCAGCCTCAAGGTGTGGAGAAGCCACTGTATATCGGAACCCCATCCACATAGATGTCTTTCGTGTGATGCCTGGACGCTCAGCCTTAAAAGTGAATTGGCTGAAGGAGGAGGATAAGCGTATGTTGGAAGATGTTGTCAATGCGCTGATGGCCTCCTCCTCATCCCATGCCACCCCGGGTCCTCCTGGGGTGGGCAGTCGAGGGGAGGGGGACCCAGCAGAAGCAGGTGTGCAAAGCGGAGCCGCTGGAATCTCAGGGCTGGCCCGAGCTTTGGGGCAGAAGGAGGAGAAAGGAACTGGTGAAGAAGGCAAGCCGACAGAGCCAGTGAAGAAGAAGCAGAAACTGGACAAGGAGGAGAAGGATTCGAACAAAGAGTTGGAAGAAATCTTGACGAAAAGGAAGATGGATGACGGTGGATGCAATGTGCTGCGCTTGGGGCGTGACGCCAGCAGCGGGAAAAAGAAGAAAAAGAAAAAGAAGGCTAAAAAGGAGAAGGACTCTACAGGCTCAGAGAGTGACTCGTCCTCGACGAGTTCGCTTTTTCGCTTAGCTGCCCTCCCGAAAGGGGTGGAGCGATTGCACCGGCTGCACGAGGAGCGGCCGGGAGCGATCGCGAACTCCACCTTGCGCCGGTTCAATGTCCTCCTGAACCAGAGCGTGGGGAGGGGAGCAGCGGAAGTCACGGAGGACCTCCCACCGGTCGCGAGGGGGTACATGAGTCAAATTTTCCTGGCCAAGCATCCAGAGGGCACCAGAGGGATGCGCAACTTGCGAGAGATGCGGACCCCGACAACAGTGTTGGATCTGTTGGCGAGCAACCAAGTTCTGCAGGCGATGGACATCATATCACAGAGGATCAAAAGTGTGGAACTCTTCGTGAGTCAAGGGCATTGGGCGCAGGGCAGCTTGCTGGAACTAGTGGCTGCGGAAGGCGAGCAACGGGCCTACTCGAGAGAGGAAGTCAAGGTGGCCCAAGTGGAGTACAAAGCCGAGTTGCAGATGCAGAAAGCACAGTGGCAGCGCCCGACACAGTGGTGGATGAAGGACAACCGGACACCAGTCAACCCACCCGGAGACAAAGGAGAAGATGGAGAGAAGGGAGATCGGGCTCCGACGAACACAGGAGGCCAGGAGAAAGGCAAGAAAGGAAAAGGAAAAGGAAAGAAGGGAAAGAGAAAGTGGTGAATGACGAAGATACAGATGAACCGATGGAGTTTGAGGACTTGAACAAAGCCCTTCAAGCAGACGCAACGGATGAGAAACACCGGAAGAGGATGGAGCAGCTGATGAAGCGCAGGCCACTAAAGGAGATTTATGAGGAGCTGAAGTCCCGCCAAAATGGGGTGACCATGAATTCTAGTTCTGCAATAGCTTGATTGAGTTGATGGACTACTCTAGGGGCTCCACAGTTCGTGCACTACAGCGCCGGCTGAAGTTCTTGGAACAAGAGATGAGCAGCAGCTGTCCTCGGGGGAGAACCTGTGGCCCCAGTGCGATGTCATGGGGATCACAAACTCTCCCTCCTAGGCATGTGCGAAGGGGTGCGACTCTATGAAATGGACGCAGGATGGAAGTGGACATTTGGGACTCTTGTAGGTAACGGAGATGCAACTCACGGTGGGTCACCAATCTGTGAAAAGTACCTCAAACAGATGGACCCCGTTTTGGTGAGAAATGCTCTACTGGGTCAGGACCTTATTGTGAAAAAGGAGGATTTGGCCTGGGCAGAACGCCTGTGTGAGTCGATGGACCTAAGAGGGGACCCCGCAGTCAATCCAGCAGCGTGGAGGACCTCTGTCTCTCGGCTTATGCAGGGAAAGCTGACGGCGAGCTACATAGGGGTGGTCATGCGAGCGGCAGTTCAAGTCCGCCCTGGAAAGCTAGGATGTTTCGCAAGACTACTGCAATGCTGTGCTTTGAGGGCTTTTCGTCGCCAGCAGCCGGAGATTCTGCCCATGCCATTACCTTCAATGAATGAGGACGAGAAAAAGGTGGACACTATGATTCAGCAATGGATCAGAAAGGGCGATGCTCCTTCAGAACAGGGCTTGAAAGATTTGCACGAGGCGGCAAAGAGCATGGGAGCAGGAGCTTGGACCTGGTTGCAGGTTCTCGTCATCAACGGGATGTTTTGCTGTGGCAGCGGAGATCGCATGCTGCATGAGGTGATGACTGAGTTGAACGAGGCTCAACGAGAGGTTTTGAAGAGACAAACGAAGATGACAGAAAAGTGGCTTATGAATGATGAAGCAGACTTGGAGCTGACAACCTGGCACTTGACTTCAGAGCGAATGGGACTCGGAGACATGTACACAGGTGTGAACATTGGCAAGTCATACCCATTGACCTTGGAGGCCATTAAGGTGACAACCCCTGGGAAGGGGCAGTCCGGAAAAATCGAACTAGCAGATGTGGTGGACCCATCACTCAAGAAGTTTGTGGAAGAGCCTGAACTACTACGTATTCCAGATGAAGAGCTTGTGGATCCGAGGATGTTTGCCTCTGTTCAGGTTGCTGGGCAAGACGAGTGGGAGCGTATTGTCTCCCACTTGGTCGACGCCGGCATGCTTGAACGTGAGGTGGAAGGTGAGACCCTGACCTACAAAGGGGAACCAGTCCGAAATGGAATTTTTGGAGTTCACAAGGGCTGGGTCATGAGAGATGATGGAACCTGGCTTCGAACCCTGCGATTGATAGTCAACTTGATTCCTTCCAACTCTTTTCAGAGGCGAGTACCCTGTCGAACCTCTGAGCAGATGGGGTATGCCCCGTTGTGGGGACAGCTTTATGTGCATGACTCAGAAGTGGTGTTGTGCTGCGCTGAGGACCAGAAGCAATGCTTTCACCTGTACCGACCAGGATCAAAGTGGCGCGGATACTTTGTTCTCAGTCGTAAGGCTGCCGGGTGGTGCTTCAAAGATGCAAGGAAACTGGCAGCTTACCCAAGAGTCCGATCAGCTCCCATGGGATGGAGCAATATCGTGGATTTCATTCAGAGTGGTTTTGAAGCAGTGGCAAAAGCAGCAGGACTCGAACCGAGCCAAGTGATCCGCATGAACCAACCTTCACCGTTGCAGCCACTCACGAGTCCTCGAAGCTATTACTCGTTCTATGTGGACAACTTTGATGAGCTCCTAGTGGTTTGGAAGACGGACCGGGGAAAGTATGAGGGCAGACCCAGTGACTCACAATTGAAGCTCCGACAGGAGATGGATCAGCGCGGAATCACACGTGACCCTCGAAAAGCGAGCGAAGCGAGTGTCACTTGGAATAGCCTAGGAGCAGAGGTGGACGGCGAACTAGGCTGGGTTGGCAGCGCTGGGAAATTCAGGAGAGGATTGCTAGCTGCAAACTTGGACACAATCCTCGAGAAGGGAGTGCTCCTTAACAGCCGAGACTATGAAGCAGTTGTCTCAAAGAATATGCACTCAGTGCAATATCAAAGGCCATTGGCAAGCCTGTTTGACACCATCTATCAGGAGTACAACAGGGAAGAGCAGAAATGGGTCAGTGAGGCTTCAATCGACGAGTTGATTATGCTGACGTGTTCTCTGCCGACTCACTGGATTGACCAGCGGTGCGAGATTTCTGGGCAGGTGTTGGCGACAGATGCTTCAGAGGACGGAGCAGGAGCGTGCATCACGACAGGTATCACAAAATGGGGGAGAGCGAGAATCAATACCCTGGCCTATGAGCTGCAGGCCATAGAAGGAGATGGAGCAGATGCCACAGTGGTGATCGAAGCATTTGCTGGGATAGGAGGCTTCTCACAAGCCGTGAGGCTTCTTGGTTTTCACCCCATGGGCGTTGTTGGCATTGATGCCCAGTGTGGACGCATCTTGACAGCATGTCCGTCATGCCATTTGGTATGATGATATTCGCAAGGTGCAGGGGTCGCCATGCATCAATCACTCGCAGCTCAACGTTCATCGAGGTGGAGCACAGGCTGAGAGCAGTCGTTTGCTAGATGAACTGATTCGATTGCGAGATGGCTTGCAGGAGGTAAGTGAAGTTGATGGTCTCCGACCTTGGACGGTGTGCGAGTTCTGTGAGAACGTCGTGATGGACCACTCAGACTATGAGATTCAGACGGGCAAGATTGGTTTCCCAGCGGTACTACTCGAGGCAGGCGAGTTGGGACGGTGCCGAAGGCCGAGACCCTACTGGAGGAGAAATCTACCATTGAGATTGGGAGCTGACGTGACGCTCAGCCAGGCACACACACCTCGTGGATGCAGCTACACGGTGACAAAAGTAAGCATCGACGCAGAGCGGCCCCCTCTTGCATGGTTCCTTGAGCATGACGCTCAGAAGATGGAAGCCGAGGATGAGCCATTTGCAACATTCACCAGGCCGATTGCGCGGAAGACGCCGCCCAGGCTATGAGCAGGCCAGTGAAAAAGCCCGTGCGCGTTGGAAGGGGGATGCCTACCGAGTTCAGCCTTATCAATATGAGGATCGCAACCTTGTCTTTGCAAAGCACGGACCAAGATGCTTGAATCTGACCGAGCAGTTGCGGATGATGGGATTCCCGCCCAACTATCTGGAGGCCAAGAACAAGCTCTCCAATGACGTGAAAGGGCAACTCCTCGGAAATAGCTTTTCAGCACAGTGGCACTCGCTCGCCTGCTGGTTGGTCTGGTGGTAAGCGAAGAAGAGGTCAAGGAACGCGACGTGACCAGCATGCTTTGGCAGTGCTGGCATGAGATGGAGGAAAGGGCTCAGCATGATGAGCAGTCTTGGAAGGTGAGATTCGGCTCCCGTGCGGGTTCCGCTACCATGGTTCGGTCCTTGCGCGAGCTTGTGGCCGGGCCATGCAGTGGTGTTGGATACCGTGCGGCTGATCGATCCACGACGATGGTTGACGGATGAGCAAGTCCTTACCTACTTGTTGACACGAGCAGCCACCCACCGGGGAGGAGAAATTCGCATTCAAGATGGCGCGCCTATGGCTGTGGGAGCTGCGCGCCGACAAAGTATTGATCCAACACACTGGACTTGGAAAGTGCTGCTGTCCTACCAATGGAAGGAGCCGGGACAACACATCAATGTCCTGGAGACGGCAGCGGTGCTTGATGTCCTTCGCAAGTTGTGTCGTGAGCCAAAGAACCACCACAAACGCTATGTGATCCTGATTGACAACCAAACTGCACTCAGCGCCTTGGCGAAAGGCCGATCCTCAGCTCGTGCGCTCCAGAACCCCTTGCGCCGGATTGGAGCAATCCTTGTCGCGGGGGGTGTCGTCCTTCACCCGGGCTGGGTCAAATCCAAATGGAACCGGCCCATCACGGTGGGCCGCAAAACGACGGCAGCGTGGCGCCTAAGCAGGCGCTTGCGCGGCGAACGCCGCAGGAGCGGAAAAAAAGAACGTAAAGAGCTGGGATCACTGCAGAGTTTGGTTGTCGCCCCTCGAACACAAGAGCGTTACTTTCAAGCAGTTTCACTCTTTTTGGATTTCCTTGTCTTGCACGTACACCCCTATCCTACTACTTTCTTGTCCTTGGACGGACGCGTGTGCGAATATATCGAATATTTGTGGCGAAACGGAGACAGCAAAGCTTTAGCTTCAGATTGTTTGAGTGGTCTTGGGCACTATATTCCCCAATGTAAACGGTATTTGGCTGAGGCGTGGAGACTTCATGGAAGTTGGAGCCGGGCTGAGTTGCCGGCTCGGGCCCTGCCCTTTACTCTCATGATAGTTTACGCCCTGGCCCAACGGGCCTATGACCATGGATGGAGTGACATGGCTGTCCTCCTCCTGTTAGGATTCGACCGCTTTGCACGCACCGGTGAACTTTTCAATGCCAAGAGAGGGGATTTTCATTTTGATACCTCCCTTCGCCGTGTTGTTTGGACCTTGCCTCTCACGAAAAGTGGGCAAAGGCATGGAGCCCAGGAGTCCCTTGTTGTTGACGATGTTTGGCTCGTCATGCCTTGTACAATTTCATGCGCTTTCATGCGCCTGGCGATGTGTTGCGGGCTGTCAGCCCCGGTGCTATGCGCCATCGGCTTAAGCAGCTTTTTGTTGACCTTCAGCTGCCTGAGGGTTTTCAGTGGTACTCGCTTCGGCGCGGTGGGGCTACTCACGCTTTTCGTTTGAGCAATAATTTGCCGGCGCTCTGCGTTGTTGGACGATGGAATTGTCCTAAAACCGCTCGAATTTATCTAGCTGATGCTTTCGCGCAGCTCACAGAGTTGTCTCTGACTGCCGCAGTTCGCACGCGCCTACTCCGGTTGGCCCGCACAGCCCGGCCATCCTGGTCCTTTGACACTTAATGTCACTGTGTCTTAAAAAGGCGCTGGCCCTTTTGAGGTTGACGGAAGCGTTTCCCGTCTTACCTACGGTCTCCGGTTTTGTTTGTCAGGGCGGAAGCGTTGCCCGCCTTTTTCCAGCGACGGAAGCGTTTCCCGTCTCGATCCCCCCCCTCTGTGAACCCCCCCTTGTTCGTCGCGAAGCGTCTGGCCTTGTCACTCTGTCCAGCGACCAAACGTCTTGAGCAGGCTACCTTTGCCTCCAGCCCCGGCTGAATTTTGGGCAGGGCGGACACCGGTGTCGGGTGTTTCGATTTCTTCTTGTGGGTATGGACCCTGGGGGGGAACACCCAAAGGCCTTCCTTTATTCTGCAGCGTCTCACCTGTTTGCCTGTGGTGCGGCTTCGCGCTCTGGGCCACAGTGGTGAGGGCTGTGGGTCTGGACCATGAAGTTGCACCTTGGGTGACGTCAATTTCCAGGTCATCAGTGTTGACCTTTTGAATCCACTTTCTTCAAAGCACAGCTTTTGGAAAATGAGGGCAGAGAGAGCTGCATGAGCACTCTATATATATATACATATATATGTATAGACATATGTGCAGGCAAGTTTTCACACTTTTTTGGTGTTTTGCGTGATGCGGCTAATGCGTTCCCAATACTGACAGAGGGGTTCCTGGCAACATCAGCATGCCAAATCGTTGAGGAAAAAGGAGTGAATTAACCCTCATGCGATTGTCGGCCTCGTCCGATGTCAAATGTCAGACGGTACAGACAACCAAGAGTTGCTGGAGCTGACAGATCATCATCCGCTTTCTAGCCTTCAAGTCAAAGATTCAGGCATTCAAGGACACGGCAAAGTTGGTCGCGTCAGTCCAAAGAAAGGTTTGTTGGGAAAGCTCCAGGACTTCTGGTTTGTCTTTGACTTCCTCCTTGCCTTTTTCATGGTGCTGGAGACGTGGGTCATTGCTTTGGCCGGCTCCGCTCAGCGACATTCCGGAAAATATCAGTGAAAGGCATTGGTATGTGTGTTTTCTGAGGTTGTAATGCTGACAGGGGAGGAATTTCTCCTGATCAACACCTCAGTTCTTAGGCGAGGCATGGCTCCGAAGGGACCGATCTGAGATTTGATTGGAGTGCCTGGTTTTCTGAAAGGCTAATGCACGAAATGGAGAATCCACATCCTTAACATCATTTGGAACCGGAACCTTTGCCTCCAGGATGATGCGCCTCCTCCGGCTCACGCGTGTGGCACGGATTGCTCGGCTCTTGCGTTGCTTGGTGTGTGCAATGGCATGTTGCAGCTGGAAACGAGACTTTCGGGTGGACAGAGGAACGGTAATCCTCTGACTCTGCTTTTCTAAGACTTTCATACTAGTATAACTTCCTATGATCGAAGTCGAAATCTACAAACCGCCTTCGCAAACGATGTGGCTGGTGCTTTTGGACAATGTGCCAAGCGGTGCGGTCCCAGGAAATCATCCCCAAGTTGCTCAAATGGGTTTTCTTTTGTCTTTGTTTTTCTCCTGTTTTTTTTGCACAATTTGGCTCTTTCCGAGGCTTTCTGCCAGAAGTTTGTGGCTCAGACACATGTGAAGACACATGCAAGCCGTGCCACCCAGGCAGATAGGCTGCCAGATTCTCCGTGCGTAACCCAGGTCATGATACTGGTCCGGGCAATTGGTGCAGCTACACGGTCAGTTGTTCTTACAGTGCTTGACCCAGAGAGCCCAGTGCCAATCATGGAGAGTGTGTGCTTGACCCGGGCCGCCCTTTTGACTAACCCAAACTCAAACACAAGAAGAATCTCACCAAGCCTGGCTGAAGAGCCACCCCCAGGGTTCGCCTTGTTCACCCAGTTTAACGGGAGAGAAGCGCCAGACATGCGTTGTTCAACATGTTCCTTGCCCCTCCCTAGTTTCCAAATGTTTCCATGTTGCGCTACCAGCTTTGGAGGTGGAAGACGAAGGAAACATCACACCACCAAGACGATGCCATAAGAAACAGGGAACGCAATTTGCCCCTTGTTCTCTTGCATGCAGCCTTCTAGCATCATTTGCAGGAGTATGCTCAAATTGCAATTGTTTCACGATCATCCCCACAGCAAGGTGCTGTTGGGATTGATGATTGTTTATGCTCTGGCCTCGGAACTGCCAGACATAAAGGAACTCGCTTTCGCATGTTCCGAAAGCCATGTTTCAAGACTTTTGAGCGCGAAAGGTTCACAAACTGCAAGAGCCGTCCAGGTCTTTGCTATTGCTTTCACGCAAGTGGCTGTGGACACAGACGCCGGTAAGGAATATTTTCACACTTTACCAGCTGCCCGCAGCTCAGCAGAGGCCGTGAATAGACATAGAGCCAGCCTGACATGATCCGTAACTTGGACGTCCGAGGCCATGTTCAGTTTGGTGTTTTATGGCTGCTTCAACAACAACATGGTTGAGATGGCGCGCCTGTGCTTTCAGGTGGCCTTGTGTCCTCTTTTATGAAGACTTTGTAAGGGGGTTTAGGTTCTGGGCGGCCAGGACGATTTGGTGGTCAGCTTTCTCTTTGCTTCATCCTCAGCTCTAGCCTTCTACGTGTTAAGTTCCATGGCTGGGTTTCGTGTTCGTTTTGTCATGAAGGCGGGCTTTTTGCTGATCGCACCGCTCACAGTCTCTTGGCTTGACCACTCACACACGCAGAGACTCAAAGACACGTGGCAGTTTTGGCCCCGGCTTGTAGGTGATGAACCTTCTTCTCGGCGTATTGGTTGAGGCCATCCAGTCCAACCTTCGTCGTTGCCGTTTCTGGTGCTCCAATCGCCCAGCGCAGCAAGGTGGTCCGCGTGGTGGCCACGGCTGAGCAGGAGGGTCGTGTGGTGCCGGATGCTGAGACTTGTGCTCATCATGGGCGCATGGCGCTGGACTTGTTGTATGAAAACGAGGCGCAACTTGAAAGAAGAACTGCACTATGCCAAAGAGGCCATGGGTGCCGACGATGACACCATCAGCCAGGAGGAGTGCGGAAACAAGAGCATGTTTTTGGGCCGCGAATTGTTTCAAAGATTTTCAAAGCAAAAACACACACATATACATTGCGACCGCACAGGGGGCCACGCTAAATCTTCGGACCCAGTTGACCCAGTTGACGCCAACTGGGTCAACCGGGTCAACTGGGTCCGGAGATTTAGCGTGGCCACCGGGTCAACTGGGTCCACCGCCACGACTACTACTACTACTACTACTGCTACTACTACTACTACCACCACTACTACTACTTCTACTACTGGGTCAACTCAAGTCAACTGGGTCAGCTGGGGTGAACTGGGTCAGCTGGGGTGAACTGGGTCAACTGGGGTCAACTGGGTCAACTGGGGTCAACTGGGTCCAGAGATATAGCGCGGCCCGGGTCAACCGGGTCAACTAACCATCAGTTCGACTGGGTCAACTGGGTCCACCACCACTACTATCACCACTACCACTACTGCTTATGGGTCAACTTGGGTCCACTGGGTTCAAGGTCTGGCAACGACTTCTATACTGAGCATGCTCGATCAAAGATGAAACCCTACTAGTGCTAGGTGTAAAATAAGGCAGTCTGAACAGTAAAAATTAAGCTCAACACCAGGGTTCTCGTGTTGAGCTTGGACAAAACCTTTTTTTTAAATCAAGTTCATCGGTTTTGTATTTGCATTGGGCACCCCACGTGAAGCAGGCGTAGCCACTGCATGGGCAGACGGCCGTCAAAAAATGGCCAACGAATGGCATGCGTGGAGCTAAATTTCAAGTTGTAACAATGATCTGGACCTTTCAGACAGGGGATGGTTCAATCACCAACTATCCCCTTTCGTGCGAACTGCTGTGGATTTGGAAGTGTTTTTCTTCTGTAAAAAATCTTTTCCAGGTCAGAGTCAGAGTCAGAGTTCGGCTTCTGTGAGGATCCCGTGGTCGACTTGTGGATCTTTTCCAGGTCCAAACCAGGGATCAGGTGCGTGTTCGATCGCCAGGCCATCCACCAAACCACAGACAACTAAGTCAACTCATCCATAGAATCCTGGAACCTGAGTAAGTGACCTGTACTTTAGATCAACACCAACCATCCTCATCTGTGGCTACATGGAGCTATAAAGACGTGTGACATGATGTAATCAATGGAAACCAACATCAACATCAGACATTCCGTGTAGAGCGTGATTCGGAACCTTACTTGTTCAAGTTCAACAACGGTCTTCATCACAACCTCGGTTGATCCAGCTTGATCCACTTCAGAAGCCAACAGTTGGGGACCGTTTCTTCTTGCGAGTCAAGAGATAGCTCTAGATCTATCGACGACCTGTGAGCAAGCGACTTGGCTGTGTAAAGCTACTCAACGAAAGCTAGAAACCAAGATCAACACCAGACATCTTGTGCTGAGCTTGGTTAGGACTCTTTCTTCCATCGAGTCGACCATGGTCGCATAAACAACATTGACACGTAGAAATACATAGTCTAACCATGGGAAACCAAGCTCAACGCCAGGTGTCCCGTGCTGAGGTTGGTTGAAGACTTTCCCTGAGCCAGTTGAGACACTGCCTCCATCAGAACCTCAGTAGAAAACAAACGCGTAAACAACAACAATGAGTTATGAAAGCAGGATCTAACACGTAGAAACCACACTCCACACCAGGAATCCCATGTTGAGGTTGATTGGTGATCTTTCGTGATCCAGTTCAGACAACAACCTAATAGTAGCAGTGGACCCAGTTGACCCCAGTTGACCCCAGTTGACCCGGTTGACCCCAGTTGATCCAGATCACCCAGTTGACCCAGTTGATCCAATTGACCCAGTTAACCCAATGGACCCACTTGACCCAGTTGACACGTAGCAGTAGCAGTAGTAGTCGTGGTGACCAGGAGGGCACGCTAAATCTGCGGACCCAGTTGACCCCAATTGACCCAGTTGACGCGTAGTAGTAGCAGTGGTAGTGGTCGCAGTGGTCGACTTGACCAGGCGGCCACGCTAAATCTCTGGACCCCGTTGACCCAGTTGAGGTCAACTGGGTCAACTGGGTCAACCGGGTCAACTTGGACACCCTGTCCAACTGGGTCAACTGGGTCAACTGGGACCACAGATTTGGCGGCCCCCTGTGCCGACGCACTCCACATTGTGTGTGTGTGCATGTTGGTGGTTGGAAGCAGCCTGATGTGGGGCAGCTTGGCCTCATCGGCATGCCTTCAGGAATTCATCCAGTTGCTGCAGAATGACCAAGCTATCGATGTCCTTCAGGATGTTTGCGTCCTAGTCCACTTTGAGTTGCTTTACTAGCCTCGCAGCCGCTGGTCACCTGGTGTGGGGTCCAGGTCGGCGTTGACCTCGTCGCACTGGTGAAGGATCCAAACATCATTTTTGATGGTGAGCCCTACATGGCTTTCCAGGTGCTGCGTGCAAGCCGCTGAGAGTGACAATGAAGCAGTTGATTGACAGCCTTTTGTGGCCGGTGAACATCTTAAAGCCAAAAAGTCATCAGTACCTCCAGCAAGCTACAATGCAAGTGACATAATGCAAGTGTGGCACAGTGTAGCACCTGCCTTCTAGCAAAGTTGCGGTGTTAACGGACGTCGAAAGCCATGTCAGGATTTCTTGGATGAGATCCTACTCCTTCGTGGCTCAAACTCCGCCACGGTCAAGGACACCGAGAAAACCTCCAGTTGGGCACTTCCAACAGGGAACTTCACCGTGTCTGGAACATTTGCGTTGAGAGGCCCTATTCTCCACCTAGGTGGAAACACGTGAATCCATCATAGCCAACTGTGAGACATGTTTGATCCAACTGGGCTCAGGATCTGACCGTCCTGAAGAATCAGATCTTCCAGACCCTGCCGCCCTTATTGAAGAAACGTTTGAGATTGTAGGACCAGGCTGCAGCCCTCAGTGTGACAGTCGATATGTTTTTAGTACCTTCTCAATGATTGGGTTGCTGCCGAAAAGGCTGTCTGCGAACGCAGTGTGCAACGTTTCACCCGCCTTCTGCCCCTAGCAGCGGGACGGGCACGATTCTGAGGTGCCCGTGCCGTGGCTGTCAAACGACACCCAGCTGTTTGGGTTCCAGAACCGAAGTCGGCGAAAGGACCTAATACATTGAGATTGGACACCAAGATGGACACTCCATGTGTAAACAGTGGCGCATGATGGCTCATGAACACACGGTTTTCTTTCACAGTCACCAATCACCACCCTGTCCAATCACTCTGTCGCTTTCGCGAATCTCCTAGCCAAGCTGGGGGGGGTTCGATTGTGCTAGCGTCAGTTGAGCGGCCGTGCCAAAAAGGCGATCACGCAACTCACGTTGGTTCGGTCAAGTTCGGCAGGCTTCATATCCATTGGGTGTCATACATTAAGTCATACAATATATATACTGTATATATCTATATCATATATATGGTGTCATTCATATCCATTTGGTGTCCATTTGGCTTCATATCCATTTGGCAGGCTTAAATATATTTCATATCTTCATATCTTTGCTGGCAACGGCCGGTAACGCCTTGAGGCACAGCCAAGTCGGATCGAGTTCGTGGAAGAACGCAACAACATGACTGCATTCCATAGGATGCCCCGTGATACCTGGCGCAGAGGCCAGGTGGCAAAAGCGATAACTTCGCAACATGTTCGGGAGCCAAAGACAAACCCCAGATTTCACACACAGATACATATATATAATATTATATTATACAATAGTATACAGTGTATATATAATAATTGAAACCCTGTCAGTCAGTCACACACTACTTGGTCTAGTCGGTGCTAGAGGCTTCATTGAATGGACAACTCATTCAGCTAGAGCTTTTAGCGTTGGTCCGCTTCGAAATTGCAAACACAAGCCACTGCCCCTGATGTGCTGCCTGCATCGGGCTGGGTGGGCTGCCAGTCTTCTTGGCTTTTCAGCACTTTGGAGCAACACCTTCACTGGGCAGTTTATTGCCAAACGCCAGCGTGACTTGGCCAATGTAACATAATCTTTTGGACGAAAGGTCCAGATGCAAGCGGCTTCTGTGGCCATTTTGCCAAGCGACCATAGTCTTACTGTATTATTCTTAAGGATCTTAAGGATGAGCTTGTAGCTTGTATCGCAGTATGTACAATATGGGGAGAAAAGCTGTGCTAAGAACAGCGGCTCAATACGAAAGCCAGCTGGCACGGTAGGCTGCGGCGAGTTTCTGCGAACGAACTGAGTTATGGGAGGAGGTGTGTGGGCAGAGCGGGCCAAACTGCACTCGAGCCTGGACACTTAACGGTGTTTTTTTACTTTTTGATGGAGCCCTTTTGGTGAGTTGGTGATGCAGAAGTCATGAACAAGACGCCAGAAGAAATGCTCAGCATCAGGAAGAGAGATAGAGATCGCCTAGTGTGAGAGTATATGAGAGTTTTGGAAGACAAAGCGTCAGTCGCCACGATTGGATGGTACTACTGGCTTTCGTTCCTGCCTTCGCAGGATTTTCACTTCCAGTTCGTTCATCAAACTTTACGCCACAGGCCTTCTGAATACAACCAACCCTTTGGTTTCTGAGATGATTTCAGCCATTCGACCGTGCATCCCTCCGCCGCCTCCTCCAACCCACGGCTATCATACCAGGTCTTGTCCAACAAGCTCGAGGGGCCGTGGAAGAGGTCCTGCCTATTGGCCCCTTTTGTCCCTTCACATCACCAAGTCTTAGAACCCTTTGCACTGAACCAGAGCAGAGGCTGGGACTCCCCGAGACGGTCGACATCGCATTGCCCAACTGAAAAAATCGCCGTGAGAGGACTTGGTAGGCGGACATGGTATGAAGTATGAACATGTATGAACGGGCATGCTTTGAAGGGGAGCTTGCCACGACACATTCTGGTACTCTCGAAGCTGCCGCTGTGTGATGCATCCATGGGTGGTGCTTCCCTTCGTTCAGCGGCCGACCCCTCGGCAAACCAAACGATCGAGGCAGAAGCTGGAGACGATCCTGAGTCGAATCGATGAGCTAGCGGAGAGCCCGTGCTGCATTGCCCACTGTTGTGCATTGCATCCAGAGAACACACATCGTGACACCGTAACGCGGGTACTTCCTTGGTCGCTGATTTACCAAGGACCACCGCTGAACCACATGAATACCTCCGTTTGGGCGGGGAACTTCGGGACGCTGACTCAGTGTGGCGTGGAAACCTCTTGCACATGCGGCACTCGGCGGATTTCCAGACGCAGGAGTCACTTGAACGACGGGGCGAGGTCAGAGGTGCGGTTTGGAGGTCACCAGTGACCCTCTAGATCCCTCTGCCAAGTCTCTCTCTCTCTCTCTTTTTTTGCATTTGATGTACCGTAGATTTCACCGCCAACGAACCCGAAAAGTGATCAATGCGGAAGTAGGTGGAAGCCACGCAAGTCACGAAAGCTAGCCTTAGCTAGCTGGAGTTGCTCTTGCTTTAGCAAGTTAAGTGACGGGGTGGACGCACCTCAGAAACCTCAAATAATTGATTAAATCAATCTTATGGACCCCCCCCCCTGAAAAGTAGAGCCTACCTGTACAGGGTTCCACTCCAACAGCTGATATAGTGTGTCCATGCTTGACTGCTTCAAGGCTCAAAGAGCAAGAGGATAAGACTCTGCGCATAAAAGACACTAGCGGTCTGCACCTCTACCGTGTACGCCCTAGTCACTCTTTCAGTGGTAGCGGAGCAGTGATCCTGGAAGACCCAGGTGAGCTCCTTTCCTAGGCATAGAATTGCTTGTGGGCAAACGGCCATGGATTGGATTGACGACTGGGAAGAGCCTGATGCGGATGTGGCTTATGAGCCAGCAGCCTATGTGAATAGGCATGTGAGAAGAGAACCAGCAGCGATAGCTATGACAACACAGGTCACTACAAAGGTGCCCCCATCTTATGATGGAAAGACTTCATGGTTTTCCTATGAGGATGCCATAGACGATTGGTGTGATATCACCGAGCTGGAGGATGAGAAGAGAGGACCAGCATTGAGAAACCGACTAGAAGGAGAAGCAGCTGTATACAAGCGTGTTTTAGACAGAGATGCACTGAAGGCAAATGATCCACCAGGAGCCGGCGTAGAATATTTCAAACGAGTACTACGACCATATTTCGTGAAAGGATCAACCAATGTATTCCTGTATAGGTTCATGCAATTCGTGCGCTTCAATCGAGGATCAGCTGACATGATGAAATGGATGACAAGATTCCAGATTTTACTCCAAAGGCTTATGAGCAGTTGGATGGACATGCTAGAACCAGTCACTCAAGCACATCCACAAGTCCTAGCTCAGATGCAGGCAGATGCAGCGTTGACTGGAGTAGCACCAACGGCAGAAAGGATTCAGGAAATCATGCAGACCATCAATGGCAATATGAGGACTTTTCATCAGAACGAATTTCCTCTAGGAGAAAATCTGATTGCCTTACTCATGCTGTCACTTGCAGATTTGTCTCAGGACCAGCGAAACACTTTGACTTCTTTGATGACTCATCGTGGCAGGGTCCTGCAGCAATATACTACAACAGAGTTGAGGACAGTGTTCATCGAGATGTTCTGCACGACAAAGACTTCAGTAGACAATCCTTTGATGCAGCCGACAGGTGCTGGAGGTAGAAGATCATTTCTTGTACTAGACGAAGGAGAACTCGATGGTACATTTGGCTATTGGGCCGAAGATGAAGAAGATGGAACAGAAGGATTTTTAGATGCCCTGGACGATGTCTTTTGGGTATATGATGATCAAAACTTCTCGTGGTTCCAAAGGAGATTCCAAGGAAGAAGAGCCAGAAAAGGCAAAGGAAAAGGAAGAAGAAAAGGAAAAGGCAAGGGAAGATCAGGCCGCAGATTCTTCAGACCTCGTGGAAAAGGAAAAGGAAAGAGACGAGGTAAAGGCCATTTTGCTGATGAGCAACAGACAACATATCCAGAAGAGTACTTTGAAGAGAATCCTTATGAGGACACTTGGGAGTCAAACCAAGGAGCATATGATGCTATTCTTGCCGAAGATATGAATGACTATCTTCAAGGAGAATATGATGATGCCAATGACTTTTGGCAACAGCTTGAAGAAGCGTGGTTTTCCCACAAAGGAAAAGGAAAAGGCAAGAGAAAAGGCAAGAAAGGAAAAGGAAAAGATAAAGGAGATGGCAAACAAGATGCAAACTATGCAAATCAACAACAGCCACGTTCTTTACCTGCACCTTCAAGATCTTCACAAGCATCAGGAGGTCAACAAGGTTTCTTTGCACATTGTGTGACAGCAGCAGCTGAAGTCCATGACAGTGAGGTGGACTTGCTGTCAGGCATGATGACCTCATGTCAAGATGAAGCTGACTGCGCGGTCAACAATGGTGAGACGATCTTCAATGGCATGAGTGCCCCTGTGAGGTACTCTTTGTCAAAGGAGATGCTCACAAAGGCTCCTGATGGCTTTGCGCTTATGAGCGCTGAGGAAGAAGTGAAGGAGATGCAGGCCATTTCATTTTTGACTGAGAATCGCTTCCCGCCGACTATTGCAATCCTGGACATTGGATGCACTAGAGCTATGGGATCAAGGCGAGCAGTCGACCATTTTTGCAACTATGTCGACAATCACCCAGATTGTGGATTATGGTACTCCTTTGAGGCTACCAAGAGCAAGTTTTACTTTGCCAATTCCCAGAAGGCTACTTGCTCTCAGAAACTGGTGATTTACATGTATGATCGTGCATGGACGATCCACCATACAGAGTTCGACATAGTGGAAGAAGGAGAAGTCCCTTTGCTTATGAGCTTGCCACAGATGAGGAACTTAGGCTTTGAACTCAGGCTGACACCTCAACATGCTTATCTGACATCGGTGCCTCTTGCTCTTGGCATCAAATATTTGGAGTTGAAGGTTGCAGCCAGTACTCATCTTGTTTTGGACTTCCAAGATATTGCATGGTATCTGTCTGACGTGAATTTGCAGACTCGGCGCGAGAAGAGTTTTTACTCTCACTTCACTCACTATGAATATGGTCATATTTCTGTTGACCTCAATAGTGATGAAGATGTAGCTGAACATGCATATCCTGTGGTTGACTACTGGGAAGTAGATGTTCACAAGAGAGAACTGATACGTCACCACAAGGATTATAGAAAGATTCTTTTCCCAGCAACTAAGTCCTGTCCTGTAGACACTGACTTACTGGAAGACTTGCGACTGACAATCATCAAGAAGAAGAAAGGTGGAGAAGAGATCAAGAAGCAAGATGATTGGCGCAAGGCAAAATGGAAGGACCTACAAATTGGCTATGAATGGCGTGGTAGAACAATTTTTAAGTTCAAGCCAGATGCCAAAATTCCAGATCTAAAGATCAGGAAGGCTGGCATTGAGCACCGTGGCATTGGTGATCCCGATGCAGTGGTGCGCTCCTCCTCAGAGAAGGTTCCCATTGCAAAGGACAGGGAACCAGGCTTCTCGTCAGAGAAGGAAGGTGCACCAGCCAGTGCCGCGGAAAAGCCCGTGCCGCCAAAATTCCGGTATACTTCCAAGGGTTTTGATCCATTTTGGAAAGGACACAAGTCGAAACCATCTGAGCCTCAGAATGATTTAAAGGGTGATGATCTTGAGGAGTATGTTCCCTCAGAACCACCTGAGAGGCCAGAAGGTGAACTTGTAGAAATTCCTAAAGCATCAAAAGGACCATCAAGTGATAAACATGAACCACTTGAACCAGGTGATGGCGCTCTTGAGCCTAGGCGGATTTCAATCCCATTACCTGGTAGTGAAGTTGTTGCAATGACACCGGCATATAGGAAGATGTTACAGAGACTGGAGGACAAGGTAGAGCTTTATAAGCTTCATGTGAAGCACTACCATATGAGTCCTACTCAGTTTCGTAGACGTGTTTCTATGTTGAAGCTTCCTGACTCTGTTTTAGAGAAGTATGAATCAGTTGTCAGGAACTGCCGTGTTTGTAACACTTCAGTGGCACCTCCGCCACGAGCCAGAGTCTCCGGTATTAGAGCTTCATGTTTTGGTGATGTTGTTTTTGCTGATCATTGTGAGGTTGAACTTCACAAGAACAAGTATATCATTCTACTTGTTCTTGATGGTGCCACAAATCTTCTCTGGGCTACGGCACAGAAAGACCTCATAGATCAAACCACCATCCAAGCATTGAGGCAGTGGTCTGATGAGAACAACTGTGTTCCGAAGGCCATCGTAGGAGACGAAGCCTTTTTCACCGATGCTTTTGTTGAATACTACAGGTTCCATGGTATACAACAATGTCCTTGTGGGCCAAGAACTCCTTGGCCGAACAGAGCAGAGACAGCTGTACGTTTGTTCAAACGTATGTGGCATGTTATGAAGGTAGATCTGGATGACCCACGTTTTCGTGGTGTTACGGTCAGAGAAGTGGTCAAGAAGGTAGTTTGGGCAAGAAATTGTCAGTTGACTATCAGTGGATATTCACCAATAGAGATAGCAACTGGAAGACGTCCACCAGATCTTTTTGACCTTGAGACCGCAAGCCCTGAGCAATTGTCAGCTAATGCCGCCGCACAAGATCGTACAAATTTGGAACTACAACGTGTGGCTTTGAGAGCTCATCAAGAAGCACGACAAGCTCAGGACCTTCGAGCAGATCTTGCAAGAAGGACTATGCCAAGCGACGGTCCTTATTTCCAAGGAGAGAAGGTTTTTGTTTGGACTCAGGATTCATCAAAGTTCAAGGATAAAGGACGTTGGGTTCGTGCCACAGTACTTGGACAAGAAGGAGCTATGGTCCAAGCCAATACTGGTAAGGCAGTGATACGTGTGAATCAGTCAAAGGTTAGACGTGATCACGATGAGTGGCATGATGTTTCCATTCCGGCATTAGACGATGAGAATCCGGAGAACTTGCGTGAAGATCACGAACTGTATGTTGATGCCGAATTCGGAGAACAGTCCTTTTTCTTCTGTAATGATGATCATCCTGATGTTGTTGAGTTACTTCATGGAAACAGTGGATTATCTTGGTTCCTTTCAAAGAATGGTGTTAAAGTTGCATCTCCTATGGATTTCAAGGCAGGATACAACTTTTCCACTATGAAGGGTCAAGATGGTATTTGGCAGCAACTGGAGAGATTGCAGCCCCACTGTATAGTGATCAACAACCCTTCTCCCAAACAGAACAGAGCTTCTATTTGGTTGCTATGTTGTAATGTGATTGAGTGGCAGTTGAGAAGGAAGAAACATGTGTTTGTGA